CAGTGTGCAGCCACAGTGCACAGATGCCCAGTGTGTGGCCAGTGCACGGCCAGTGCACAGAAGTATGTCAGTATCAGAAGAGTATAAATAAAGTATTGAAGGAGAGAATAGAGGTTTAAAATTTAACAGGTGCATTAATTTTGGAAAGCTTCTAGACAACATAGTTACACATGTTTCTGTTTGTAGTCCTAACTGTTGAGTGCTGTGGTAGAAGTTTGTAGGAAGACACAGACATTAAGTCCGTAGTGAGAACTAGTTCTGTGTACCGGCTGCGTCCTGCCCGATGGTCCTAGTTGAGAATGGTCTAGCAGAAATTGGTTCTTAGTTTCAAGTGTAAAGCACAGATACCAATCAAAAGAAAACTCGAGATGAGTGCTAACCGTGGGAGACAGTGTCCAGCAAACAGGTCCCACAAGCAACCTATGGACTCATCTGGATTTTGTAAAAGTCAGTTGCTTTGTTAACATCTGTCCTGGCCTTGAGTAAAGTCATTGGGCAAATAAAGGAAACAGTAACATCATTACAACTGGCTGTTGGGATTTTATAAGCAGATATATCTACGTAAAATTGTTGTCAAAGAAAAGAAACTACCCTGATGCATTTTCCACTGTAAGGATTTGATTTTGAAAGTACTTCTGGACATGTACTGTTGATGGATAACTCATTCTGTTGACTCCTTCTCTCTGGGGTTAGCCCTGCCTAAACCACATTCTCCGTTGCTTTTCTTGGAGCACAGTGCACTGCACTGCTCCTGTGTGTTTTCTGTAAACTAAAGCTGCCACGTGTTCTAGGACAGGCAGTCTCTGACCTATAAAGAATTCTGTGTCAAGCATTAAGGCATGAGCTGGGTACATGCTGAGTGAATAAAGCACTCCGGCTCAGAAACCTGAGAAACATAGTTCAGATCCCCAGAATCCATGTGAAAGCTAGGCACGAATGGCTGAAGCCTGTAATCCCAGTGTGCAGGGCAAGAGTCAGAGACAAGATTGCAAGGGCTGGCTAGCTGGGCTAGCTGCAGTTAGCAGACCCCAGACTCAGTGTGAGACTCGGCCGCACTAAATAAAGTGGAAAGGAATTGAGGAATGTTTGATGCCCCCTTCAGGTTTAAACACCAATGTGCATGTTTACACCTACCCTTGTATACCCAAATGCATGAGCACATGTACACATACCACATACACATAGGTAAAAATTACTAGGACGTGAGTGTAATGATGCGCTTACACTACGCCTATTCTAGCACGTTAACTCTCTCTGGGAAGGCCAGTGCTGTTCTGAAGTCTCTCACTGCAGCAGGTAAATGCAGTTGTTACAGCACTGTGCAACAGCTGTCGACTTCACACCTTCCAGGTGTCACTTAAGATGAGTGGTGACAATGAAAGGACATCACTGTTTGAGTGTATTGGTCTTTATGTAATTTATAGTTTTGTAAGAATTTAACTTTTTATGCCACCACTTATCACTATATTAGGATTGCTTGTATATATTGCTGAGGTACTAACATTTTGGTGTGTCATAGTGCATGCACATCATTTCCTTGGTAACTATTCCTCTGTTGATAACTAGCAGCTTATTTTTAAACTTTTGCTCTTAAAAATACTGTAACAGTCTGTAATATAGATGAGTTTATGTCTTTGATGATTTTATTCCTCAAAATATTTTACCTATAAGGCTTCAGCCTTTTTTTGTTAGTTACTGTTGGGTGGTTCAGATATAGCTCTTGCAAAACAGAAACCACAAAGCATTAACTCTCTCCCAAAGTAAAGGAGATAGGATAGCTCAGGTAGTGATGTGCTTGTCACATAAGACTGGTGTAGCGGCATTTGCTACTTTATGGGTTCTTTTTTCTTCCACCTCTATACGCCTTTTTTTCTTCCCTTTGAACCCCCTAACACTTAATAAGAGAGGAAAAGGATAGAGAGGAAAGGAAAGAGATGCCTGAATAAAGACAGGGATCAAAGGGGACGACATTATTGTCTGCTGATTAGGGCTATTGGGTTCCTTGGGGCAAGTTTGATCTTCACTGTCAGGACATCTTATTTCTTCTGGTTGTTGTTTCTTTGAGCACGACTACTTAACAAATCACAACCAACAGCAACCAACAGCCAGTCAACAACCCACCCCACCTCTCAGGGCCCTAGCCCTTATATATCCTCTGAACAGTCCCCAGAATTCCAGGCATCACACAACTGCAGAAACTGTCTACAGCCGGCAAATCACGCCCCCACCACAGCATAAGGCAAATCATAGTCAGCTGCTGCGAAGTAGCCCTATGTTCCCACACCTGGGATTAAAACAAAAACATATTCTTTTAATATTTCTATGTTTTTAAAGAAACCAAAATTCTGAGAAAGGTGCAGCTGACATGGTGGTTTGCACTTGTTAATCCCAGTGTTGGGAGGTGGAGACAGGCAGTTCTTGGGGCCACTGCTTGATGGGCTCCTGGTCAGGCTAGAGACCCTGTGAAAACAAAGCAAGTTGGATGGCTTTGATGAACAAAACCTCAGATTGATCTCTGGCCTCTACATGCGTATGTGTTCACAACACAAACACACACACACACACACACACACACACACACACACACACACACTTTTTTCCTATAATTATTTAAATGTGTAAATTATTTCAGATGGATCAGGAGGTTTCTCAGGGTGCACTATCTTTCATAAGCTTTCGTTTCCTTTTTCTGCGTCATCTTTGCTGAATTTGTGTTTTAAATGATTGGCCACATGGAAAAACTTTGGTTAACTCATGACATCCTTTGCTTTCTTACTGTCATGTTGTATTTTCTTTTGTATGATACAGCCCAGTAAGCCAGACAGAAGTAGAATGAGTGCATTTGAAATCTGGGGGAACCTTGGAAATAATTCTTTGTATCTTTAACGTGTCAGATTTGTGCATATACAACAACCGAAAACCACCTGTGTGTTTAAGTGCTGTGTTAGTTGTTGATGTAACAGTTTCCTTGAATCTCAAGTCTCACTGAACATCTTATTTTTGTGCATCCACACATGCCAATAAGTGAATCCCGGTGCCTTTCCCAAGCCTTGTATGAACAGGACTGGGGTAAGGCTGGCTTTCTTTCTGTTTTTTCTTATTATGGGTACTTAGAATGAGCCTTTAAAAGAAAATTCCATGTTTCTCAGGCAAAAAAAAAAAGAAAAAAAAAGTTCAAATTGAGGTAAGCTTTATGCCATGTTTGGAAGTAATTTCTTTGTATTTTAATACTAAATGAATATCTGTTAGCAAGATCTATTGTTTTAAATAGACTGTTCCTGGGGTTTTTTGTATGTCCCAAACACAGTCATCATTATTGCAAAGCCTCAATGTCTGGAAGAACAAATTTGTGGGTAATCACTTAAGTTTACTTAGCTTTGCTTTGATGTAATATTTTTCAGGATTAGAGACATTTAAGGTATTTGATGTGTTGGAAACATGGCATTTTGGGTAGATCTGCAGGGGTCGGAAAGTTGGGACACAGTTGTGAAAAGGGGCCAAGGAGCTGCATCATCTCCTAAGCTTCTGAAGGCCCTGGCTCTGTGTGAGCATTGCATGAGTACCTCTGCCACCGAGTGGCAGTACTTTATTTCCATTTACGTAAGCCAGAGAGCAGTCCTCAAGCTTTTTAGTCTCTGAAAGAGACCTCTTTACACACTTAAAACTCAGGGCAGTTCCAGGAGCCCTGTACTCCTGTTCGCCATGCTAATAATTTAAACTGAAAATGTTTTAAAGTTTTTACTTATTTTCAAAATAAAAATATATGCCAATCACATGTTAACATAGATTTTTATGAAATATAACTACCTTTCAAAACCTAATGTATGTTTGTTTGTTGTACTTGGCTTAGAACACACCTGGATTTCTGTGACTCTTTTAGTCTGGAGTCAGTTGATTGACACGTGATAGATTAAGGAAGCCTGCTCATTTGGATAGCTACTTGAGAAAGAGAACACCTCCCATGTCCTGAAGGGTCTTGCTCCTGGGAAACTGCTGTTTTTGGTACGCTCTTCTATTTGTAGGCCACTGTTGATAGGTGGGGTGCTAGTACAAGTCCTTTGTTGTTAGTACTGATTTTCATTTCATTTACTTTCTAGTAGATTTTTTTTTCCTAATGACACATGCTTTTAGCAGCTTTTTTTTTTTTTTTTTCTATCCGCAGGAATATAGGCCCAGCTTAATTCTTTTGATATCATTACTCTGTGTCTTAGGGTCAACAGTTAATCTAGAGGTTAGCATCTCTGTTTATTCCCTGGAATGGAAGCTCTGGTCCTGTGAGCCCTCTAGAGCCCTCTGAGTGCTCTCTGGGAGGGAACAGTCACACCCTAGAACTGCAGAACTCTGCCATTTGCTGTAAGGTTAGAACGCTCCAGTGAGGACAGGGAAGGTGGTGACTGTTGAAAACAGTGGGCTCTCTGAGTGTTCTTTTTTCCCCTTTGTCTACTTACTAGACAACATCCACTCAGAATTTGATACATGATAGGATTATTGAGCAGTAGATTGCCAGTCCTGCTCACTTACCTGGTTTTTCGTGTAAAAAATCCAGGATGAGCCTCATCTGAAGTGGAAAGTGAATAGCTTCCAATAACATCACAGCCCTGCATTTCATTTAGCTCACGAAGGGTCATTTCACAGCCATACTTACTTGTTTTCATTGTTGCCTACTAAGTTTTGAAAATATATTTACACTGTTATTTTTCCCTTTCTTCTTTTAAAAATAAAAATTGCCTGAGGTACATTGAATTTTGTTTTGGAAGACACAGTGTGTGTTTCCAACAGTGCAGCCGTCTGTGCGTGGGCTTCCAGTGTGTGCCTTGACATGGCTTTGCATGCCAGTGAACACAGCTTGTCAGCTGGGGCTGATGCACGCTTTTCGTTTCACTCGCTTATCCTTTGTCACGACTAAAAATGAAATGACATGGACATTCAGAACACTTCTGCACTACCACATTGCAGCTCCAGCGTGCCTTCCCGTAGGAGGAACTGGAACTCACGCCTGCGCTGTAACTGCTGCTTCACTGAGTGTGTTTGCAGGGTTGCGCGCACACAGTCTGGTTCCCAGGCGAACTTCCACTCTCTCCTACTAGACACTGTTAGAAGCAGACTTCCTGTAGGAAAGTGCTTCTCATTGTGGTATCCACAGTAGGTCTCAGTATGTTTCCATCTGTTTATTTTATGTGGATATTGGAATTTGCTTTAATGCTCTGGGAAAAATACTATTTCTTTAAAGGAGGAGATAGCAGACAGTGGGTTTTGTGTCTGTCAGCATATGACACAGTCCATTTGCTGAGACCAGGAAGTCTTTTGTAGGTGACTCGTTCAGAAATCATGGCTGTGAGGGAGATTTCTACTCAGCTGAACCTGGTCAGTATCAGCAGTATGTTAGATTTCAAAATACTGCAAGCAACGTTAGTTCTCCCATGGAGTCCATATGTTAACGTAGGTTTCCCATCTCGTGGGAAGACTGGGGTGCTTCCATTACTGCGTTTCACTGAGGATACTAGGTTAGAAGATTACAACATTTTATTAGCTGTGAAATTATTTGGTTCTCTGACATAACAGGGAATAAATTTAAGTGAGAAAACTCTAGAATCAAATCTACTAGCCTTTTATCATTTCATTTAAATTTTGAATGAATGTCAAAGCTTCTTTAGGTTTTATAGAGTTAACTTAAGAGACTTCTGTGGCTGGGCATGATAGTGCACGCCTTTAAACCCAGCGCTCAGTAGGTGGAGGCAGGGTGGTCTCTGTGCGTTTGAGGCCAGCCTGGTCTATAAAGTGAGTCCAGGACTGCCAAAGCTACACAGAGAAAAACCCTGTATCAAACCCACCCCCTCCACCCCCATGAAAGAGAGCGAGAGAAAGAGAGAATAGTCTGTGGTGTAGACTAGCAGGCTGAGGCGTCGCGTGGGGCAGGGTGAGTGTGCTGGGGACTTGCAGTAAGCGCTGCTCCTGCTCCGTCCCTCACGCTCCCAGTGGTGCATCTTCAGCACAGACTGAGCAGCCAGCACTCTTGGAGTCTCCCACATCCAGGCTGAGCTTTAAGTGAGGGAACTAACTTTGAGTATTAGCAATAGCTGACTATTGCTTATGCTTGGCACTAGAGTTTATAATAAAAACATAGCTAAATAAAACAAAGATACCATTTTTCTTAAATATTTTACTTCTTAGCAAACGTAAAGTTAAGACTAAGATGCTTGAGAAATGATTTTAGCTAATTTCTTGGTCCTTTGAAATACAGAGATCATTTGAGCCCCAGTTTTATACTTTGAAGTATGCAAGATGAATATATTGGGTAGCTTTGCATTTTATATCAAAGACTATTAGTTGCCACAAAGAGTAATTGTTGTAATGATGTTGACTACTGACCTGTGCTTCCAGAATTCAGCCGTACCCCTTCTGTACCTCATGCTATTTACCATTAAGAAACTGCTTTAGGCCGGGCTTTGGTGGCACACGCCTTTAGTGTCAGCACACAGGAGACAGAGTCAGGCAGAGCTTTGAGTTCAAGCACAGCCTGGGCTACACAGAGAAACCCTGTCTTGAAAAACAAAACAAACAAAAAATTGCTTTAGTATAGGTGTTTGTGCTCGGGTATAGTTCCTGTGCGTGAACCATTTTCTGAAGCCAAGTTGGGGTCAGTAAAAGACCTTTTCACTGTGATACCTTGAGTTGAAGCCCCCACATTTTCTAAAGAACTAGTTAGTTGTACAAGATACATTATATATGTTGGTGAACTGTATCCTGTGGACTGTTGATGGGATTGTAAACCCTTCTTGACCACAAGTTTACAGTGGGAAGTCTCAGGACTTCTGTAAGGGCTAAAGGAAATAATCCAGGAGGACAGTAGCAATAGTGTTTTCACAGATTATTTGTTTATAATGTGGACATGGATCTACATGTACATACACATATGCATTCATGCACACATATATATCCACAGGTTCACACAAACACATACTTTGGTACCAAGTTACTGAGCTGTTCTACCATTGCGTCTGATGTGGTTGGAATGTTGAATGAGTGATTTTGCCCCTTGGAGACTTAAATGTGATTATGTGTACAGGGCCTGGATTATCTTTCAGCTAGATAAGATAGATAAAATATCTATCTTATTTATCATTAAGTTTGGTAATTTTCTTTGTAGTCAGCTGAAAACAGCCCTAGTGTGAAATTTAGGCAAGTAGTAGGCTTCATTTCTGAAGTACATTGTTTAAGTATGTGATCCACCACAGTAAATGGTTTTTAAAAAGGAAACAATGCCCCTGCTCTTTTATATTATGATTGAAAAGTCTAAAAATACAATTTTACAAAGAACTGTTTTTCCATTCTTAAAAATGGCCTAGTGAGCCAGGCATAGTGGCACATGCCTGAAACCCCAGCACTCAGGAAGAGGAAGCAGGAAAATTGCAAGTTTGAATCCAGCCAGGCTGTATAGTGAGACCCTGACTCAAAAAACAAAAAAAAAAAAAAGAAAAAGAGTCCTCGTGAGTACACAGTGGCATTACGTGCTTATTGACGATGGAGAAACTAAGCACTGTGGAGCAAACAGTCCAGTTAACATTGCATCAATAGAAGTGGCCAGACTCGTCTGGCGACTTTGTTAGCCATAGGATGCTTGGTGGGCAGAGCAGGGGAATGTGAGTGATTTAGTCTATTTTCAAAGTTTTGAACTTAGGCTCATGTAAGCAGTCCTGATATTCTAACTCAGAATTCAGCAACAACAACAAAACATTGATTTTAGTGATGGGGCACTTCTGTAAGGCTTTGTTGAAGAGCTCAGAACAATGGCTTAGAATAGCGATGCAGCTTCTGACCTGTCCTGCTGCAGCTGCTCTTAGATGCTGTAAACTGATCATGAAACACTTGAGCTGGATGACACTGCATCTTGAAATACTTGTTTCTGGTGTTTTTATTATAGCTTTTGAGGAACTTGAAAAAGCCTTGAGTACAGCCCAAAAAACTGAAGAAGCACAGAAGAGAATGAAGGCTGAGATGGATGAACAGATAAAGGCTGTGGAGAGGGCCAGTGAGGAGGAGCGCCTGCGTCTGCAGCAGGAGCTGAGTCGGATGAGACAGGAGGCTGCCAGCATGGTGAAGGTAAGGGTGGCTTTGGTCGAAATGGCTTCCTCTCATGTCCATTCCCAAGTCTTTGATTATAAGAGTCAATTTAGCCAGGTGTGGTGGTGCACGCCTTTAATCCCAGTGCTCAGGGAAGAAGAGGCAGGGAGATCTCTGTGAGTTTGAGGCCAGCCTGGTCTACAAAGCCAGTCCAGGACAGCCAGGTCTACACAGAGAAACCCTGTCTCAAAAAAAACAAGTCAATTTGAAGTTTGTGTGTGTGTGTGTGTGTGTATATATATATATATATATGTGTGTGTGTGTGTGTGTGTGTGTGTATGTGTGTGTGTGTGTGTGTGTGTATTATAATATAATATATATGTGTGTGTTTATATAATATATAAGTATAATATATAAGTATATTATAATATATATAATATATGTGTATATATATAAGTTTGTATATATATATATATAGTTTGAAGTTAGTTTATAAATATATGTATATATGAAAAAATTTAATTGGGGCTGGCTTACAGTTTTAGAGGTTTAGTCTATCATGGTGGGAAGCATGGTAGCATGCAGGCAAACATGGTTCTGGAGGAGATGAGAGTTCTACATCCAGATTGACAGGCAGCAGGAAGTGAATTGGCTTGTGTTTCTAAGATTTCAAAGCCTACCCCGAGTGACATACTTCCTCCTCCAACAAAGCCACACCCCTTCAACAAGGCCACGCCTCCTGATAGTGCCATTTCCTGTAGACTGAGTATTCAAACGAGAGTCTATGGGGGCCATTCCTACGCAGACAGCTGTATTATACTGCCTGCCCCCATAGGCTTGTGGTCTTAACGTAATGCAGAAATGAATTCAGTCCTGCTTCAAAAGTCTCCATAGTCTTTAACAGTCTCAGACTTGTTTAAAAGTACGAAGTTCAAAGTCTCTTCTGAGATGTATGCAATCTGTTAACTGTAATCTATAAAATCGAAAGAAAAGGCAGATCACATACTTCCAACATATAATGGCACAGGATACATATTACCATTCCAGAAGGGAAGGAAGAGAGCGTATAGAGCGTATAGAGGAAATACTAGACCAAAGCAAGACCTAAAACCAGCAGGGCAAACTCTGAACTCTGCATCTCCATGTCTGATGTCAGAGTGCGCTTCATATCTTCAACTGCTTTCAGCTGTGTTGGCTGAAACACATTTCTTTCTCCTGGGCTGGTTCCATTCCTTGTTAGCAGCTTTCATTGACAGGTATCCTGTGGCTCTGGCATCTCTAACCTCTTGGGGTCTCCAAAACAATCAATGCTTCACCTTTACAGCTTCGCACAATGGCATATCTGGGCCCTGCCACATGCCTGGCCTCAGCGACTTTCCTTAGTGTTGGGGAGAGACTCCATAACCCCTTTCTTCTATCCTTGACTCTAAAGCCAGAACAATGTGGCCAACGCTGCCAAGTTCTGCTTCTTGCTGGGGCTGAAACACGGCCCCCTAGTTCAGTTACATCTGCACCAGCTTTCTGCTTTCACAATTTTCCTCATTACCTAACCTTGGCTGTCTCAATTTGAATTTTTAGGAAAAGCACTTTGGTAGAAAGGCTCACACTTAGACAGGTCTCTAGGTCCTTCGATTCTTCAAGCTTCTTACTGCCTCCAACTTGAGGCTACGGAAGAGAGATTGCTTGTGTGCACACCCTCAGAGATCAGTCAAGAAGCTTCTCCAACTTGAGAGTGTATGACTGAGACTGGGTATTTAAATGTTTTAAGGGATAGTTACTCCTTTATTTGGTTTTTATATACTCATGGGGCTCAAGCCTCTGGCTTCACTTGGTGTTCACATGAGAAACACATGACAAGCACATTTGCATGCACTTTAAGCATAAAAGAGTCCAAGCATGAGAATATGCAGGGAGGGCTGGGGCTGAGAGGGTGACCGCCACCCCGGCGTGCACAGAGCCCTGGCTGATCTAGAGCCCTGGGTACTGGGTCCAAACAGAACCATTGCTTGTTCTAAATACCTCACGGAGATGGTTGCTGCATTTGGCTTCTCAATGTTGGCTGGTGTCCTTCAGTGTCTCCAGTCAGAAGACAGTGCGTTATGTCCACTGTTCTGTACTTGCTTTTCACCCAGTGTGTCTGCATTGGTAGCCGGCCATTTCTTTTAAAGGCTCTCAGCATTTTTTTTTGTATAAAGTTCTCATACTTGAGTCAGTCTCTGACTGTTGGGTATTAGATTTCCAGCCTTTGCTGCTGATTGTCGGTAGCATCGTGCATGCTGGCTCTCTTCATGCGCAAATTCTTAAAGTGAACCCACTTTTTCTCTAGCAAAAGTGATATGTATTTTAAATTATTGGTCTATTTGCTACAAGCCCCATGAGAGATGGTTTAGACTTTTACAGCCAGGTGTTGGAGCTCCCTCATGAAAGATAGCTTGCCTTCCTTCTCCTTGAGCTTCTAGGGAGAGAAGAGGGGTGTCCTCCTAGGTCTTACAGGCAGAAGTTTTGCCAGCAGGATAAGCATTTTATGCTGGAAAGAAATTTGTGCTTTTTCCACTTGGAGTTAGTTGCCTGATCAAAGCTTTGACTCATTCTTATATTGGGTTGACTTTTTATTTCTATTTCTAAGCAGAAGGTCTTTCCTGATGGTGGGGATTAGCCTTTGAATATAAGGAGATTGCTCAAATAGCTTTTTTTCTGTTGAATAGAAAGGGTTCTTTTCTTGATATTTAAGGTTTTTATTGTTTGACTGCTCCCTGGTTTTGTCCTAATTAATCAGCCAATTAATTAATTAATTGATTAATGTGTGTGAGTATGAGTGTGTATTTGTATGTAGGTTAGAGGACATCTTAAGGGAGTTGGCTCTCTCCTTACACTGCATGGACACTGGGACTCAAACTCAGAGCAGAAGTTTGGCTGCAAGTGCTGTAAAGTGCCGACCCGCCTCAGCGGTCTGCATTTAGTTCAGTTTTAAAACTCCTGTGGGATTTCAGATTTGGTCTAGAGCTTCCTCCTAGCTGTGCAAGGCCCTGGGTTCAGTCCTAGTTATGACAAAACCCAAAACGCTCACATGCCCAATTCTGCAACCATTGCTTTTATATTTTGTCCTTTGTATGTTTTTCTTTGGGTTTTGAGGCAGGGTTCACCATGTAGCCCAGGCTAGCCCCTAACTGTTTATCCTGCTTCCAACTCCCTAATGCTGGGATTACAGATGTGAATCACCGTGATTTATGGGCTTTGTGGCTGGTTTGGTCTTTCCCCAGTTTGGTTGTTTTCTTTTAACACTCTGACTGAAATTTATTTGGTATGAGGAATAAGGTTGGAAATCAGTTTGCTTTTTTCCCAGGGGACTGCTATCAGATTCTAAAACATGTATTTAATAATGTACCCTTTGCCTCCTGATGTGCCGCTGTCTTTACTACATAATAAATGTGTAAGAGGTTGAGCACATGTCTTCTTTTTTTCTTTCTTTTTTGAATGCTGTGCGCTGTCTGTGGCTGCACAGTGCACTGCTGCTGTGGATAGGCATTGCGTCTGAGGAGCTGCTCTCCTACCCAGTGTCCTCCCTCCCTCAGCACGGAGTACCCCCCCCGGCACGGTGTCCTCCCCCGACACGGTGTCCTTCCTTGGTACGATGTCCCCCCACCCCCGGTACAGTGTCCTCTCCCAGCATAGAGTCCTCCCTCAGCACGGTAGCCACCCTTGCCACTGTCTTTTTGGTAGTGGCGAGGGGGTCATTGTTGGCTGCTCTTAGCCGCTGAGACATCTCTCTAGACGCTAATTGTTGGCTGTTCTAACATATAAATGTTTGTCTCCTAAATAGCTTCCCTCATTCTTTTGCTGTTCAGTTATATTAACTTTTAGATTTATATAGGGAAGGTTGATGCTTTTTTAAAGTTGAGTTTTCCTTTCCAAGAAAGAACAAAGCCAGTAACTCTTTAACAAGTAATGCCTTCCTAGATAGCTAAGTGCAGCTGAGCGCAGTGAAGTTCTCTGCTGAGAGTAGCCTTCCTTGTCTCTTGCCTTCCCTCTGCCCTCTCCCAACTGTGGGCATTCACTGCAGGTTATGGACATGGAATCAGTCCTGTAGGACCCCAAGGCAGCCCTCAGTTTCTCCAATCAAGAGGAAAACATTCGGGCTTTCTTTAACTGCTACAACTTTGCAGTGTTCCTGTGTTAACTCTTAAGTTACGAGTATGCTTAATTTCTGTAAAGATGACTTAGTTGTGGAGTCCTGTGGGTTTTCTGGGTGCGTTCACTCACCTGTTGGCTCATTTTCAGAAGACTTCTGAGGAACAGCTTGCTGAGCTTCGGAAGCTGCACGCAGAGGAGCTGGCCAACAAAGAGCAGGAGCTGACGAGGAAGCTTGAGGCTCAGGAAAGGGAGCTGCGTGAGCAGATGAAAATGGCTCTGGTAAGTGCTGTTTGTCTTTGCTGGAGGTAAACCTCAGAGCTGCCATCCACTCAGCTGAGGTAGACTGCTAACTCAAGGCTGCTAGATACCTTGAGTTGGGTATATCAGAGGACAGGAGGAAGTGAAGAGAGCATGTTAGCCTAGTACTTATTGCGTGGAGTCAGATGTCTCATGTGCCCAGCTCTCATTGGGTTGTTTACCTGCCCTAGACAGGGTTAGGACGAGGGAAGGGAAGGACGGGCACTTGTCTCAAAGCCTGCATGCTGGCTGTACTAACGGGCTTCTGAAGTCTTTCTGAATTGAAGTTTAAAGAACAAAACTTTGAATTCATTTAAAGAAAGAGTAAAAAAAAAAAAAACCTAGCAAACTACTGAACTAACAAAATAGTAGTCAGAAAAGCAGATTCAGATTTTTGCAAAAAATAATGATTTGATATTTTAAAACAATAAAAACCTTTTATATGAGCTACCATAAATTATTTTGACATGAAATTACCCAGAAAATACTTTAAATTATCACCATAAAGTAATATGTTTAAACATGTTCAAAAGGACTGGACCTGCCCTGTGGGGTCAGACACTCCGTCCTTCCTTCTGCCCTTCCCTCCACTGCCCTCTGGTCTCTGAGTTGTCTGAGCTTTCCAGTAGCACTGATTCTTGCCTGAGGCAGCACGTTTTATAATCTCTGGAGGGGACATAGGCATATGGATTTAGAGTACAATTTTAAAAAGTCTAGGGAAGGGCTGGAGAGATGGCTCAGAGGTTAAGAGCACTGGCTGCTCTTCCAGAGGTCCTGAGTTCAATTCCCACATGGTGACTCACAGCCATCTATGAGATCTGGTGCCCCCTTCTGGTGTGTAGGTTTACATGCAGACAGAACCCTGTATACATAATAAATAAATAAATGTTTTTAAAAAAAAAAAAGGCTAGGGAAAAAGTGTGGTTGAAACTGCCTCGGTGTGATGGTGCATGCCTTTAATCCGAGCAGAGGCAGGGGCTCACTGAGGTCAAGGCCAGTCTGGTCTGCATAGCAGCGCAGCCAGGGCTACACAGAGAAACCTTGTCTCAAAAAGCCAAAAAGGAAAACAAGGAGAAAGAAAGAAACACAGAGAGAGAGAAAGAAAGAATGAAAGAAAGGAAAATGGCAAATATGTAGGCGTATATTTATATTCCCTATTGTTCCAGAAAGAAGTTAATGTTTAAAATATAGTACATCAGCATAAAATAGGAACAGGGGTGTGGAAATTAAAAACAAAGTGTGACACACATGAAGCTGGGACTAGAGCTCAGGGCTGTTGTGTGTGGCCTTGAGCGGTGGCGTCAAGCACTGTCTTCAAGGAACTGACAGCATTATAGTTGTATTTCAGGTAGAGGGAAAAGTCAAACCCATCACACACAGAGGCCTAACCCTTCCTAATTCAACAGACTTTAACATTTCCTCTATAAAGTACACTTAAAAATACTAAAGTCAGGCTAGAGAGATGGCTCAGTGGCTAAGAGCACTGACTGTTCTTCCAAAGGGCCCAGGTTCAATTCCCAGCACCCATGGCAACTCACAATTGTCCGTACCAATTCCAAGGTATCTGACAACTTAACACTAATGTACATACAATAAAAAACATTTAAAAAAATACTGAAGTCAAGGTTGTGGATAATTCTGTCTTACTAGTGTGTCCTGTAGTATGCAGTCGTTTGTAGAACCCCGTGTGCCACCATGGGATGGTATGTGTAAACACTGTATCAACACCTGCTCTTTAGGCAGAGTCCAGGTAAACACAATTAACGTTGGGATGTAATCAAGAAATTACAGTCTAGTGTGCTAATTTAATTTTAAAAGTGCTCGCAGCCTTTGCTGCGGATGTTCTTGTGTATCAAGAATGGAGGATTTTCAGAGCTGGCTGCATTGGGAAGCCGAGGAGCCTGGGTTCTGCACGGCTGGGTGCGGATCAGATGAAAAGCGTGGTTCTATTGAAGTGCTTTGGGAATGTCAAAGACTCATGTGGGATTGAGGTGGTATTAATTGTTTTGGCACAGGAAAAGACTCAGTCAGAATATTTGAAGCTCACCCAAGAGAAAGAGCAGCAAGAATCCTTGGCTCTAGAAGAGTTAGAGCTGCAGAAGAAAGCAATTCTTACAGGGAGTGAAAATAAACTCCAGGAACTCAGGCAAGAAGCAGAGGCTTACCGAACTGTAAGTCCATGCAAAACTGTACGGACTTTCTGTGTCCACCCCAGCTCTGAATAATGACATGCAGACTTATATTTATTTTTAATAGCTTTAGGCTTTACGTTACCGATGTTCCTCACTATCTTTTTAATCTGAGTTTGCCATGTGGTTTGTTATCTCTTCTCACTTTCATACATGTGACTTCCTCCGTGTCTTTTAGGCAAATCCTCTTGTATTTCTTTCTTTCCCAGAGTTAGTATCTCTCCAGAAGTCCAGCCTGTTCTCTCCTGCCTTGGCTACAGGCCAGTCAACCCTTTATTCTACCAATCAGAAGGTGATAGAGACGCGTGACGCTTAACAGCGCCAAGGTCTGGTCTGCGCTCAGCTCTCTGCTGGTGTTCTAGATCTGCAAAACAGCCTGCACACAAAGGCATCACTCCAACCTTCACACACTGTGCGGGCTCCAGGGCTGGGGTGCACGTGACTGTGGAGACACTTCTCTCCAGTCAGAAACAGATTCTCAGGAGGTTTTAGCTCATGGGGTTGGGTTCATGTGTGGATGCTCTTCATCTTTAGTAAGAAGTGGACTCCGTTTTCCACATTGTCCTTGTTGGTTCATTCCCAGCTGCCCATGCTTCTGGCAGCCCTTCACTCTGCCCCTTAGCACGCAGACTGCAGTGACTGCATTTTACCACTTCTCCACTCAGGGTCACTAGGAACTGGCCTCACTTTGGAGGCAGTCTGTGTTCTGATACCCTTCTACTTGTCCAGTGTCATCACAGTAGACTGTGTCCTAAGTTAGTTTAGTTACACCAGTGCCCTGCTTTTGTGTTTAAAATTATCCGCTTCTCCATATTAAACACGGCGCAGGAATGCAGTATTTGTTGATGGTCTCAGCTGGCATAATTTTAAGGCTTTCTGGCCCTTTTCCTTCGCAGTATAGAGAGAGGCTGCCTGTAGTAAGAGCATGCTGGTGGTATTGAGATCTTTCGGTCTTGTTAAACAGTCCAGCAGTCCTATTTCTCTACAGAGTTGTAAGCTCTTCTTTGATGTTATGAGCACTTCAGACAGTGACACTGTGTGGTAGAGGACACTGAGGCAGCCTGCATCTGCACTGCTGCCTTTTCCTTACTGTACCACACACCAATAGAGTGGACCTGTCAGTTTCTTAACACTTTTCCAGCTCTAATGTTCACAGCGAAGAATTAATACTCTGTGTGATAACAGTAACTTTTGGTAAAGTTAAGAATGTTTAAGAATCTTCTTTCAAAACAAAACAAAAACCAAACCAGGCTGGTGAGAGGGCTTATTGCTGTACAAGCTGGGCCATCTGAATCTGATCCCAGCCACAATGCAGGGAGAGAGCCAATTCCCAGATCTACCTGCCTTCCACAGCAGTGTGTTTCCCCTCCCCCATACATAAATAAAAATTTTAAAGCTTTTAAGTATATGCCTTTGGTGGTGGTAGAAAAATGGGATACTTTTCCCCAAAAATTAAGTTATGAAAGTAATAACATAGCATTGTAAACCCAAAAACATGGAGTGTCGACATCCATCTTCCTGCCAAACTTTCTATCATTATTATTTGTTTGGTGTTTTATTTTCTTTTTCACTATAATTTTTGTTGTTTTGAAAACAGAGATAGTTGAAATTATGCAGGTAGATTGAAAAAGTACAGAAGTGAGTTTGTGTTCATGATTGTGACTAAGCACAGCGTAGTTGTCTGCCTTGTCTTATGTTTGGTCTGGTATCTGAAGCATCCAAATTACAGCCTTTAGATAGGCCCAAGTAATCTGTATGTCACTGCTAAGAAGTGTGTGCATTAGTAAAAATGTATCTGTTTTCATCAACAGAGAATTCTTGAATTGGAAACCTCTTTGGAAAAAAGCTTACAAGAAAGCAAAAATCAATCAGAACATTCGGCTGTTCTTTTGGAAGCTGAGAAGAAAAAGCACAGTGAAGAACTCAGAGCCCTGGCTGAGAAACACAGGACAGAACTGGAGGTCCTCCAGCAGCAGCAGGACAGCCTGTGTTCTGAGAGGCTCCAGAGCCTCACACAGCAGCAGCAGGCTGCAGTGGAGCAGCTCAGAGCGAAGTATGAGCAGGAGAAAGATGCGCTCCTAAAGGAGAAGGAGCGTCTTTTCCAGGCCCACATACAAGACATGAGTGAGAAGACCTTGGAGAAGCTGGATGTGAAGCAGACGGAACTGGAATCCCTGTCTTCTGAGCTGTCAGGAGCACTGAGAGCCCGTGACCAGCTCGCAGATGAGCTCTCTGACCTCAGGGCTGATGCAGACAGAGTGAAGCAGGCCTTAGAGGCCCAGCTGGAGGAACAGAGGCGTCACCACCAGCGGGAAGTTGACAGACTCAGCGAAGAGCAAGAAATAACTGTCCGCAGAACCGAGAAGGCCTTAAAAGACGAAATCAATCAGCTGGGGCTTCTCCTGACTGAGAAAGACGAGCATCTGCGGGAGCGGCAGGCTCGCATAGATGATCTTGAAGCACGTCTTCAGAAGTCTGCCGGGGAGCTCCAGCAGGCTTTTGATAGGCTGGATCTCCTCCACTCACAGCAGAGCAGCGAGCACGAGCAGGCCAGTGCCCGGGAGGAGCAGCTGGCCCAAATGCAGCAGCAAGTGCTGGGTCTAGAAACAGAGAAGAGGCTTCTTACCAAGCAGGTAGCTGAACTGGGAACACAGGAAAAGCATGTGTGTGTGGAATTAGACACTCAGAGGGCTCAGGTGCAGCAGCTTGAGAGACAGAAGAGTGAGCTGGAAGAGAAAGTCAGAGCCTTAGCCCAGCTTCACGAGTCACAGCTCAAGGACAGTAACACGGAGAAGGAGCAGGTAAGGCAGATCCTGCTGGAAAAGGAAAATATCATTTCACAAATGAGAGAAGAGCAGACTAGAGAAATTGAGATCCTCAAACAGAAATTGTCTTCTAAAGAAGAGAGCATTAGTATTTTGCATGAGGAATATGAAACCAAATTTAAAAATCAGGAAAAAAGGATGGAAAAAATTAAGCAGAAAGCAAAAGAAATGCAAGAAACGAAGAAAAAGTTGTTGGATCAGGAAGCCAAACTTAAAAAAGAGCTTGAAAATACTGTCCTAGAGCTTGGTCAGAAGGAGAAGCAGTTCAATGCGCAGATCCTGGAAATGGCTCAAGCTAACTCAGCTGGAATCAGTGACACAGTGTCGAGGCTGGAGGCGAACCAGCAGCAGCAGATAGAAAGCCTGACCAGAGCTCATCAGCGAAAACTCGATGATGTCATAGAGTTCTGGGAAAAGAGGCTCAGTCAACAAGCTGAAGAACTTCGGGACAAGCATAAAAGACAGGTAGAGGAGAAGGAACAGGAGCTTGCAGAGCTGAAGCAGACGATCCTCAAGGTCCAGTCTGAAAAAGAGGAGGAAGTGAGCAGGCTGAAGGAGGCGGGTGCTAAGCAGGACTCAGCACTAGCTGGTCTGCAGGATCAGTTAGAGCAGAAATCTGCTTCCATCGCTTCACTCTCACAGAATGAAACTCAGTTGAAATCACAAGTTGAAAAGCTGGAAGTTGATTTGGGTTGTTCTCTGAGTGAAAAGGTTTCTCTTCAAAAAGAGATAGCAGAGCTGAAAATGCTGGCAGTAAAGGAGGAGCTCAGGGTTTCTGAGCTGACAGGCAAAATGCAGGCTGCAGAGGAGGAGCTCCAGAGCTGGAAGTCTTTACATGAAAGCAACAAGAAGAGCCTGGAGGACAAAAGCCTGAACCTCAAAACCTTGCTTGAGGAACTACATAGTCGCTGTGAGAAAACTAAAGCTTTGTTAGAAGCCAAAACAAATGAATTACTCAGCATTAGCCGTGACAAGACTGATGCCATTTTCTCTAGGCTTTCCCACTGCCAGCAGCACACGGCCACAGTCAGGGAGGCACTGCTCAGGAAAACTCGACAAGTTTCTGAATTAGAAGCACAACTTACCCAGCTGACAGAGGAGCAGCATACACTACAGAGCGCTTTTCAACAGATTACCCATCAGTTGGAAGAAAAAGAAGATCAGATTAAGACCATGAAGGCTGATATTGAAGGTCTTGTCACAGAGAAGGAAGCTTTACAGAAAGAAGGAGGCCAGCAGCAGCAGGCGGCCTCCGAAAAGGAATCATGCATCACTCAGTTGAAGAAAGAGTTATCAGAAAACATTAACGCGGTCACGCTACTGAGAGAAGAGCTTTCGGAGAAGAAGTCTGAGATTGACAATCTTAACAAACAGCTAAGTGATCTCAGTGCTCAACTTGAGAATAGCGTCAGCCTAAGTGACAAGGCAGCAGCCATTTCGTTACTAAGCAGGCAGCACGAGGACCAGAAGCTGCAGTTGCAAGGTCAGCTGCGAGAGCTGTCTTTGAAAGTGGACACGCTGAATGAAGAGAAAATGTCTGCCCTTGAGCAGGTAGATCATTGGTCCAACAAGTTCTCAGAGTGGAAGAAAAAAGCACAGCCCAGATTCGCACAGTACCAAAGCACTATAAAAGACTTGCAGACCCAGCTTGACTTAAAAGCCAAAGAAGCTAGTGAAAAGGATGAGCAGATACGTTTACTGAAGGAAGACCTTGATCAGCAGAATAAAAGACTTGACTGTTTTAAGGGTGAGATGGAAGACAGGAAGAACAAGATGGAGAAAAAGGAGTGTGATTTAGAGACTGAGTTAAAGACCCAGACAGCAAAGGTTGCTGAATTAGAGGACTTTGTTGCTCAGGGGAAAATAGAAATCGAGTCCCTGAATGAAAGACTTAAGACTTACAGCCAGCAGGAGGACACTGAGCACAGAGACCTGGTTCAGAAACTTCAGCACTGTGAAAAGCTGGGAGAGGAGAAAGACAGCAAGGTTAGGGAGGCTGAGGCAACAGTCCTGAGACTAGAAAAGCACGTGTCCTCACTAGAAGCTGAACTTGAAATTATGAAGAAAGAACTAGAACATGTGAATTCAACTGTGAAAAGCAGAGCCGGGGAGTTAACAGCTTTAGAAAAGAAACTTGAGTTAGAAAGTGCTGCAAAAGTGGAGCTGAAGAGGAAGGCTGAGCAGAAGATTGCTGTCATCAAGAAGCAGCTGTTGTCTCAGATGGAAGAGAAAAAACTGCAATATGAAAAAGATGCAGAAAGCCAGGTGAATGAGCTCAATGCAAAGTTACAAGAAAGAGAAAAGCAAAATCACATCCTAGAAGAAAAACTTAAAAACCTAGGAAGTTTTCCACGGTTGGAAACGCCAGTTGTGTCCAGGTCCGTAGAGCATGTGGCTGTGTCTCTCCAGCAAGTAACAGAGTCCCAAGGCTGCACTCAGAAGGCATGTGAGGAAAGGATCTGCGAACTGCAGAGACGTTTAGTTGAAAACGAGAAGCTGCTGCACAGGCTGGGGCAGGGGTCAGGCGAGGCCGTAGCATCTACATCTGAAATTCTGCACAAGGACCAGGACTCCGTGAAGTCAGACCATCCCAGGGCCAAGCCACTCGAAGATCAACTCTTGATAGGATGTCTTCACGAAGAACTTGAAGAAAAGAAGGCGAAATGTTCCTTAGTTATATCCCAGCCCATGGAAGAGGAAACTGGTAAGAACAACACAGGAGTGAAGCAGAACTGGGCAAGTGTGGTTGACAATGTCCAGAAGACCCTCCAGGAGAAGGAGCTGACCTGCCAGACCCTGGAGCAAAAGGTAAAAGAGCTGGAGTCAGACTTAATAAGAGAGAGGGACGCACATAGACTTGAAATGGAAAAGTTGACCTTAAAATGCGAAAAATACCAAGTTTCACAGCAAGACATGGGTGGGAAAAATAAGCCTGTAGAAATTTTGGAAGACAATACTGAGGAAAATTCCAAATCACGAGTGATCCAGCCAAAACTGGGGAGTAACATGGACAGCCATCACGATGACCTGGAGTCACAGTTAGCAGGGGCAGAGCGGGAGAAGCAGAAGCTGAGCAAGGAGGTGGCTAGGCTGCAGAAAGACCTCCGGGCGCTGAGAAAGGAGCATCAGCAGGAACTGGACATCCTGAAGAAAGAATGTGAGCAGGAAGCAGAGGAGAAGCTCAAGTAAGTGTTGGTCCCACCTCGTGTGCATGCTGCGGTGTGTAACACAGACACTTGAACCTCACAGAGTTCCATAAATCCAGTCAGCTAAGTACTGAGGAGAAGTGAAATCTTGGGCAGGAGGCAGTGTTACTGTGTTTGTGTAGGGGACACAGGAAGGAGCTGACTGCTGGCTGCGAGTGTTGAGTACTCATGTCGTTGTTGGTTCTTTGTAGTGGTAGCCCCTGACTGAAACATGCATGTCTAGAGAAGCCTGACGTGGAAAGAACAGTCCTCCAGGGTCCAGGATTAGCACGGAAGGTGTCAGAGTTCGTGAATCTCTCTAGTTTTCTCTACCCAGACATACAGATGCTCAAAACTGTTTCCATAGCAGTGATCGTGTCGTTTTGAAACCTGTTAGCTCTTTGCAACTTGCTCTTTGGAGGCAGCAGTCATCGCTCTTCACTTTCGTTACTCAGACAGGAGCAAGAGGATCTTGAGTTGAAGCACACTTCCACACTGAAGCAGCTGATGCGGGAGTTTAACACACAGCTGGCACAGAAGGAGCAGGAACTAGAGCGGACCGTCAAGGAGACCATCGGTAAGCACAGCCGGAAACCCACCAGGCTGAGCCACACTCAGCTTATCCTCTTGTTGGCCCTGTCGTAGGTGCTACATGTCATTAAACTGGAGGGAAAGTGGTCCTTGTCCAGAAAGTACTCTCTGGTTCTCTGGTTCTCTGGGACATTCCTAACCTGCCTCGCTGGCGCTCACTTGCCTTTGGAGAGAGGCAGTGTCTCCTCATGCCCGTGCTGCTGAATTGCATCAACATTAATTTGGAGTGAGAAATCCCTTCTGCTGCTGGCATATAGTCACAAATGTGTTTTCTTATGTGTGCCCCTTGTCCTTTATTAGATAAGGCCCAGGAGGTGGAAGCCGAGCTTCTGGAGAGCCATCAAGAAGAGACACAGCAGTTGCATAGAAAGATCGCAGAGAAAGACGATGCTCTCAAAAGGACAGCCAGAAGATACGAGGAGATCCTTGATGTACCTTGCTTTTGTGCTCTTTTGAAATGTAGCTGTGTTTTCGCGGTAGTGCTGAATGTTCTGGCTTCTTAGATATAGAGAAGTCTTTTCCTTTATGAGAAACTACACGGAGGCTTTGTGCTTGAGTGAAACCTGGGAACCAAAGCAGTCATGGTGTCTGGGTGGCTCAGCTTAGCCAGGGTCTTCCCTGGACACTTAGCCAACCTCACTCCTTCTCTACTCATTTCAGAGTTCTGATGGCCCAGGGTGGAGTGTGGGAGGAAACAGGGAGTTTATCAGCTAAGTGTTTTACGTTTAGTAGATGGCTATTTCAAAGTACTTACTTTAATGGCATTGCATTAGCAGAATAAATTAAACCATAAATGAGTAAGAACTTTGGACCCCAAGAATGCTTTCAGATACACAACAGTGTCAGTTATTCCTTATAAGACTACTCTAAGCCTTACGTCATCATATGCCAGGAAACATTTGTTGTTCCAGAGGGGCCATACCTTACTGTGTCAGCAATGCTTGTGTGAGCTAGCTAGGGATACAGCAATAATCACCATTTTAAATGTGATCGGATTGAGTGTCAGTCCAGAGTATAGAATACCACCTTTGTGCAATTTGTAAGCTTTAAATTTCATTAGGAAAATTTAAGATAGTTGCATAGTTGCATATCTTGTACTTTCAGAGTATATTTGTGCTAAGTTTTTAAAACATAACAGCCAGGGGCTTGGAGAGATGGCTCAGTGGTTAGGAGCTCATACTGCTCTTGCCGAGGATCCAGGTTGTATTCCCGGCACCTGTGTGGTGGCTCACAGCCAACTGTCACTCCAGTTCCAGAGGGTCCAGTGCCTCCTGTGTGCTCTGTGGTTGCTGCACATGGTACACATGAATTCATGGGTACTTACATGCACGTGGTACCTCTAATCTCATATGGCCACATACACATAGATAACGTGCATTTTTAAGCAGTCCATTGAAGTGTTGGTGGTACATGCCTGTGATCCTATGGGCTCAGGAGCTGGCTTAGAAAGATGAGTTCAAGGCTGGACCTGCTCTAGTAAAAATAATATGGTCACTTTTGACTCCTGTGGAATGGTTGATGGTACAGTGTACCTAGTACATCTGATGTTCCTGGTTTAGTTCTAGCTTCTGGATTTGTCACTGTGCTTTTGGTGTTTTTAATACAGAAGGGAAGGCAACCTTAGTATAGTTAAATGATTTGCTTAACACTGTATTGAGTTCCGGAGTAGAGACTCATCATTACCTTTACTTATTTCATAAGTAAAGATGTTGTCCTAAGAGAGGAGCTCTTGAGAAGGTAACAGCTATTGTGAAGATTCAAGCCTGGAAGCTGCAGGGAGGGAATGAGCTCCTTTTTATGATCCCTTCACTCTATATGGACTTATACAGAGATTAGACTGTTTATCAGAGAGTAGACTAGCCACCATGACAAGCCCCTGTAGTTCTGGGGTGAGGGGAAATAGGGAGCAGGCCTCCAGGCTGCAGGTGTGGGACAGCAGCGTGCTGGACAGGAGTGGGGTGCATGCTTCCCAGCCCCTTCCTTAGCCTCCCAGCCAGCGCCGCCTTTATACGCCTACTATGAATCTTGTTAGTTATTTAATGTGATTTTAATTATTAATCATGTTTAATGATTACATGAGAGCCTCATTTAATAGTTGCACATTTTCTAGTAACTACAGTTTTAGAAAGGGGAACTGTATTTTAATAATATGTCAGCCGGCTTAACCTGATTAAAACTTGAGTGCTTCTACGTTAAGTCAGCATGATGGGTAGACTCCAGGCTTTGAGGACTCAGAGAAAAACTGTTTTGTCCTCCTTTCCACCTCTTTCCTTCCCTCTTTCCCTTCTGAAGAGTTGCTGTCGCACTGTCTGTAGAGTACTGCCCTTCCCTGTCATTTATGCTTATTTTGTGCTGTATTAATAGCAAATCTAAGCACAGCATTTAATTTCCCCTTCCCTATCTCAGCTAAGTTTTTTGTTTTGTTGGTTTGCTTTGGTTTTTTTGAGACATGGTCTCATGTAGCTCAGGCTGGCCTTGAACTTGCTGTATAGCTGCAAATGGTTTTGAACTCTCGATCATCCAGCTTCTACCTTCTAAGTGCCAGGATTGCTAGCTGCCGTTTGGATAACATTCTCATCTTCCACATCTGAAGAAACGAGAAGCTTGGTTTTGATTGACATGTCCTAAGCTCCTCCCACTAGTGCCCCGTAGATGGGGCAGGAGGTCTGCGTGCATCCCGGCCAGCTCATGTCCCTCTTCTCTGCACTGCTGCTACTGCTGGATACTGTCGTCCCTATCCAGTCCGCTGTTGGCCTTGTTGCTGGTCTCCGTGCTGCTGTGCTTCCTCCCTCCCTGACAGATCTGTCTGTCAGTATCGTCTTCTGTCTGAAGAGAGCGATGCTGCAGCCTCCCATGGAGTCTGCTAAACTTGGGTTGAGCTTGCTGCTCCCTGGCTTTCCCTCTGCTCCTGTTGTGAGTCTTCATTTGTTACTACTTCTCTGGGACCATGTGCGGCTGTGGTGGTTTGAGAATGGGCCCCTTAGGCACCTGTGTTTGGCTTTGTTTGGCTGGTGGAGGTTTGAGTAGGGTCAGGTGTGGTGGTGTTGGAGGAAGCGTGTCCCTGGGAGGAGCTTTGAGGCTTCAGAGGTTCACGCCAGGCCCAGTCGCTGATCTCGGCCTGCCGCCTACAGGCCAGGGTGTGACTCGGCTGCTGCTCCAGTGCCACACATGTTACCGTGCTCCCACCATGTTGATGGCAGCCTAACCCTCGGAGACCGTAAACCAGACCTGAGTAAGTGCTTGTGAGAATTGCCATGGTCACAGCAATAGACAGTGAGCGCCTAAGACAGCGGGTGCCGGTGTCAGGCGTTTCCCTCAGTTGCTCTGCACCTCACCTCTGTGGCACGATCCCTCACTGAACCTGGTACGATCATGGTGGACTGAACCTCAGGATCTTCCGACTACTACTCGGGCTATAGACCTGTGCCAGCAAACCTGGCTTTTTAATGGGGTGCTGGGAGTCTGAACCTGAATCCTTCTACTTGTGTAGCCGGTACTTCACCCGCTGAGTCAGTTCAGCATCCTGACCTCTCTGCACTGCATCTTTACATTTTAAATGTAAGCTTTATTTAGAAAAAACTTGAATCAAATGTATGCACATATATATTCCAGAATGTCGTATAGTGAAAATCACTTTCATTCTTGTTTGTTTTTTTTTTTAAGGGACAGACCCAAGAAAACTAGAATTCTCCATTCCTCCCTCTTATCTTCTTCCATTTCTTTCTTTTTCTTTTTTCTCTTTTGATGAATGACCTGGTGCCTTGTTGGCAGGAGCACTATGACTGAGTTGTCTCCCAGACCCAGAACTATTTTTTAAGTTAGAGATAATTCATCAGGGATTTTTCTCTAATTCTTAGAAGGCTTGCCTTAGCTTGGTTGGTAGTCTGCAGCTATCAAAGGAAGTGTCAGACATTACTGAATGTCAGAATGTGCCTGAGGGAGTAGCTGTGGAGTCTGGGTAGCTACAGGGGCCACATGGTTGACTCAAAGCAGCAAAGGCCATGGACAGTAATACCTCAATTCCAGGTTGATGGTGTTGGAGGCAGGGCTAGGTCAGTCAGTGTGCCTTCTCAGGAGACCTCTGACCTCTGGCCACCACAGAGCAGGGCTGTGCTGCCCAGGAAATGTTCTTGAGAAGAGTCAGACTTCTCAGGTCTCAGGTGTCTATGGCTCATCACGTTGTCTGTGCCTAACCGTCTGTCTTTGAGAATGCTGTTTCCCAAGCTCCCGACAGTCAGCGCCTGTGAAATGGCACCTGGATGTGGTTTGCTGTTAGCTCACTTTGCACACACTTTTCTTCATCACTCAAGTGAGATCAGTATTTCAGCTCTGACTGTTCTTTAGCACACAGGTGTTGCATGATTTATGATTGAGGGGAGATCTCAGTGCTCTTGACACAATGGCCTTGTGGTCAGACTTCTAAGAAGGACTATGGGGACAGAATCACCTAAGAGCTATTTTAGTTCAGCCTTATTTATTTGGTTTGTTTTTGCAGAGTGTTGGGAAAATGAAGAAATTCCAAGGATCACCAACACATTAGGCAGACTAGTTGTGTTATGTCACTCAAGACCTGCTGATGTGATGTGGGCACGGTTGGATATGAAACAGGAAGTGTTAGTAGACAAGGTTCAAAGACCAACTCGTGAGATACCCAGTACATCCAAAGTTGGTGAAGAAAATGAAAACAAGTCATCCCATAGCTTCTGTGATCAGTCAGTTGCCACCTGTGTGAAAGTACTGCTGTATTTCCTGAATATTGTTAGGAACCCCACTATAGATGCACCCAAATCGTAAACCGTATGACCTGTAACATCTTAGGATTCCTCATGCTTAAGACCTGGTAAACCAGTGAGAGGGGTTGAGGCACCTGATGCCATTGGTTGGGTATGGATAGAAGGAAGGAGTGTGAGTGGAGCTTTGGCATTCTAGGAAGAGTGAGCACCTCCGAGGCAGAACTCGGTTGGGTCAGGGAGGCGGCTGGGACAGCAGCGATAAGAAAAATGGTTCTGTGTGTCACAAATTGTTAACTACCTTGCTCCCTCTATGCCTGGTTTTTTAATGTTATTGCCACATTGCTCTTCTCATTCTGAAGGCCCGTGAGGAAGAGATGACTGCAAAAGTAAATGACCTGCAGACTCAGCTTGAGGAGCTACAGAAGAAATACGAGCACAAGCAGGAGCAGGAGGAGAGCACGGAGGACACTGTGAGGACTTTGATTTCTTGAAAACCCTGCCATCTCCACCGTTTGGCTCACCCACTGCCATACATTCATTTCATTGTATCCCAAGGAACGCTTTGAGAACTGGCGTTCCCTTTTCAGTCAGTACAGCTAACACCCGAAGAGGTTAACCAAATGTTCAGATATCCTGTTCAGTGTCCCAGTGGAATTTAGATCCAGGCTCCCATGTTCAAAGCCTACCCTTGCCTTTCTCCTGGTGCTTCTGGGCTTCCCACAGATAGTGTACCAGAGCAAGTGTAAACTTTACACCCTTGGGGGAGTGCCAGAATTGTCCACAGCAAATGGGACATACTGAGATTTCTGTGTTTTGTGCTAAAAAATTGTTTTAGACATGTTTGCTTTTTTACTTTTTCTTTTATTTATTCTCTGACAGTTGTATTCACGCATAGAATATATTTTTGTCACACACACCCCTCCCCATCCTCTTAGTTCTTCCTACTCCCACAAGCCCTCTCTTTTCCTCCCAGAAAGTCCCTCTCCCACTTCATGTCATTTCGTTTTGTGACCCCCAGTTTTATCCTGGCCACCCACATGAGTGGTTACAGCACTGAAGACAGTTACTCCCCAACCCCACAGCATTCAACTGCCCATAGTTTTCTGGTCTTACTTAATGTGTACTCTGCTTTATAGTGTATCCTTAGCTGTGTCATGTGAACATGAGGGTCTTCAGTCTTTCCATTTGCAGATAGAGTGACATAAATGATGTGAACAAGCTGGCACTGTGGCTTTGGCATTTCTTAAATATCCCAGTCTTGAAGTAAAATTGATGCTATGAAAGATAAAGCATGCATGCTCCATGGCTGCTTGTCCTGCTGTGCAGCTCAGCAGTTACCCACAAAGCATGTGGGTCCCAGTTTGAGAAGCCTGACACTGGAACATTTCTTTTAGAAAGTACTCCTTTCTCTAGAACAGTCTTTTTCATAGAATTTGTCAGGAGGCTCTTGGGAAAATAGACACGGTCTGTGACTCCATCTTTGAGAAGATTTGTTACAGATTATCAGTCACTGATAACAGCAGTTTTCTAAACTGCTCGAATCTCCAGCAGCGATGATGAAGCCTTTGGAAAAGGCGTCGCTGTGCAGCACTCCTCAGTAGCTGTCTGTGCGCACTGAGAGAGTGGAAAGGACCCTTTCTCTATAAAGATAATCACGAGTGCAGTTCTGTCTGTGGACTGTGTGGTCGTGGCTGTGGGGACCTTTGCTATTAGTTACTGCTTGTATAAAAATGGATTTTAATACCACGAGCTTCCCTAGCGTCAGGGTATTGATGTTGCGTGCTGACTACCAGAAGGCTCAGACATTGTGAAGCTGATGGCGATGCTCTGAGTTCTTCCCCTTGTCCAAGGGAAAGAAGAAAATAATAGCTGTAAGCAGAATTGTTCCTGTTAGTCTCTTGATTCTCCTTGAACATAGTTCAGTGCTTGTAAATATTTCAATTTTGGTTTTTCTTGAGATGATAGTACTGGCATGTTTCCCAGGCTAGCTTGAACCTTGTGCTCAAGTAGGCTTCCCAGCTCAGCCTCCCAAATCACTGGCATCGTAGTGTTCCTTCTGGATTCTGGATGGTCTAGAGTCACATGTACCTATGCTGAGTTCTATGGGGAACAGTTTGTATTCAGAGCCCAGCATGAGCCTCAGAGATTGTGCTCAGAAATCTCCTAAAGGCCTTTGAAAGATCAGACATGTTTACTCGTGAAGTTAAGTGAGTGATACAGGAACATATTCTGTGTCCAGTGACACTGAAGGACAAAAAAAACACTTGTTCTGGGCTGTCTGTCTCCCTTTCTGACGTGACAGCTACTGCTGTTGCAGCCCTTCAGGTCTTTCCTCTGTTTCCATGTGGACATTTTATACAGCAAAAGCAGAACAGGTTAAAAATAAAGATTGCTTTTTTTCAGACTAACTCACTCTCTTAAGATGGTAAAGCTGGCTTCTCTGTTTCATTGTTTCCTCTACTGGGGTTTTATTGTTTACATTCTTTTTCTTTTCCCTCTCTAGGTAACAATTATGGAGCTACAGGTAAGACTAGTTCATCACTGAAATTTCCTGAAGCTGGTGTTTATTAGGGACATGCCTCCACCTCCACCCTCCATTTTAACAAGTTAAAACATAAAGATGCTGTTTCTGCAAAGGAAGTTTTTTGCAAGCAGTACAGAAACATGTCCAGGCGTTGATAAGACACGCCCATTTCAGTCTGGCTTTTGTTCTTTCAGACACAGCTAGCCCAGAAGACCACTCTGATCAGTGATTCCAAGCTGAAGGAGCAGGAGTTGAGAGAGCAGGTACAGGGAAGCGCTCTGTTGGTATAGACTTGGATCTCGGGCAATCAGGGAACAACTAAGTTGAGAATGATTTAGTAGTTGCTTTGAAATAGTATTTCTAGACCCAGAAGTGCTCGAGACGACCCACACCTATGATTGCATATATCCACACCGAAACACTGGGTTTTGCCTGCATGAGTGTGAGGGTGTACAGTGGGCGTGCCTGTTGCCATGGACCCTGGAAACAGGCTACGCTTGTGAGTTGACTTGTGGGCGCTAGGGATTGAGCCTGGGTCCTCAAGTTCCCAACCTCTGGGCCATTTCTTCAGCCCTAAACCAAAATTTGTGTTCTACTGCCTCTGGAGTTTAACATTTTGAATAATGTTTCGTGTTTATATCATTGTAATAATTTATATTCTAAAAAAGGAGTTATTTTTCTGGTTTGTCAAAGGCAAAATATGAAAATCGCTCCTTAATGCTTTTTCCCAATGGTCGAATTAATGGTATATGATTTATTCATGGTGTCCATAGACAGTGTCTGTCATTGAGCCAGTGCTCTCCAGGGACACAGCACAAGCACATGCCAGTGGGTGCTATGGCCATGATACTTAGTGACATCTGTCCCCAAACTGTGGAGGGCTGGCTTCTGTCACCAGGCTACACTATGAGACTAAATCTCCCAGCTTTTTCCATTTTTCTTAAAGTAGACATAACCAAGTCCTGAAAACTGCTGACACTGGGACATTAAGTTACTCTACATTGTGTGTACTTGAACTGTTTGGTACTTTTTAAGTTCCTAAAGACAGTCCCTGAGTTATAGTGTTCCTTCTTTCTCAGCAATAAGCCCCACTTATATTGAGAAGCTTGCGCTTTAACAACAGCCCTTCCTTGAGTGTTTCTAAGTCTTCAAGATTGTCGCAGCATAGTGAGTTTTGTATTGGTCAGTTTTACTGTAGAACATAAACATCGTTATCATCATTCTACACTAAATGCTTCATACTTCTTCCTTGTTCCCATCTCCCTTTGACTCTGGCAAGCACTCCTCTGCTCTCTGTTTCTGTGGATTTGCATACTGTAGGCATTTCATTCGTGGCATCGCACAGTCCACAACCTGTTATGTCATGTTATGTTATGTTATGTTATGTTATGTTATGTTATGTTATGTTATGTTATGTTATGTTATGTTAGCTTAGCTTAGCTTAGCTTAGCTTAGCTTAGCTTAGCTTAGCTTAACTTATCTCTGTACATCCTGTTGTCTGTTAGTACTTCATTCCTTCACCGTATGGGTGAGGAATGAGGCATGTGAGACAAGGTAAGAGTGAGGTGAGGGCTTGTGCTGCCGCAGCCAGCTGCTTCCTTCTGTGAGCAGTGTGTGGATCTTAGCCGGTGGTATAGCCCAGCACAGTGTCGCCACTCACCAGTGTGTGCGTATTTGGGTTGTTTTCACCTTTGGCCTATAGCAAGCAGCACTGTTAGAACATCTGTGTTTTTGTGTCGTCTTTGGAGACAGGCTGTCTGTGTAGTCTTGGCTGTCCTGGAGCTCACTGGAGACCAGGCTGGCACAGCCTCAGTGCTGGGACTGAAGGAACATGCCTCAGTGCCTGGCCTTGCGGGCCCCGCTTTGTTTGAACCCTCGCAGCTCTTGTAAGCGTGTGCATATGAAGGGGTGCAGTTGCTTTCTGTGCTGAAACTTGTTGAGAAATGGCAGGCACACTGTTTCAGAGCCACTGCTCCATGCTGGACCACATTGCTCCACTTTTCACATCCTTACTGAGGAAGTAGTATTTCATTGTGGTGTTAGTTTACATTTTTGTAATGATTAGTGATATGAGCCGTCTTTTCATTGGCTTGTTGGCCCTTTCTTTCTCTTCTTTGGAGTTATGTTGCATTTAATGATTGTTTTGGGTGTCTGTTTTCTTTTTATTGTTGGATGTAAGGACTTATTATGTATTCTGTACACAAATTCCTTATCAGATAGTGATTTGCAAATATTTTCTCCTGTTTTGTAATTTGTCTTCACATTTTGATACAATCTTTTGATACATGAAAGTTTTTGTTTTTAATAAAATTCAATTTATTTTTTTTCTTTTCATTGACTATGTTTTTAGTTTTTATCAAAGAAACTGTATTTCTTTTGATTTTATCTGCATATGCTTTTTCTTCAGCACTGAAAAGAACACAGTAGCTATAGGAATTATTTTCCTTACATGTGATTTCCATCTTAATTTTATGGTATGGCTTAAATGTTGTTTTTAGGTCCATAATTTGGAAGACCGTCTGAAAAGATACGAGAAGAGTGTGTGTGTGGCACCTGTGGGGACTCCGCGCCGAGGTGAGCTGAGGGGCCGCCGCTGAGTGCATCTCTTCCTGCCAGCTTTTGAACGGCCTTGTTGGCTTTTTCTTTGCTAATCACATTCTTCTCATATTTTCATTTTGTATCATTTTGAGGATTTGGCAAGTACAAATTATATGTACTCACTGCAACATGATGCTTTTAAAATACATATTCTCTGTGGAGCCCACAAGTTGAGCTCGTTGGTACATGCCACCACGTGTCTCATTACTCTTCTGTGAGGAGACGCCATGCCCAGGCAGCTTACAAAATAAAGCGTTTTATTGGGAACTTGCTTCCAGTTTCCAAGGGTTAGAGCCCCTGATTATCATGTCTGGGAACATGGAAGCAGGCAGGCATGTAGGCATAGGTAGCTGTGAGAAAGTAGCTGAGAACATAGATCTTGATCCACAGGCAGCAGGCAGAAAGACACTGGGCTTGCTGTGGATTCTGAAGTTTCAAAGTCTATTCCCCGGTTACACTCCACCTCCAACAAGTCACCCCTCCTGCTTCTTCCCAAATCAGTTCCACCAACTAGGGACCCAAATGTCCCAAACATTCAAATATGTGAGTCTGTGCAGGTCATTCTCATTCAGCCAAGCATGTGGCAGGAACAATTGAACTCAGTCTTGCTGATTTTCAGTAACATAAATAAATACATCATTATCTCCAGTACCATAGCTGTCTTGAAGATATTTCTACTGTGTTGTCTCCTTTGAACAACAAACACCTCCACTCCACCTGATCTCCCATCTCATGGCAACTACCATCTTGTTCTGTTCCATGATCCAGCTTGTGTAGATTTCATGTGTGCATCAGAGATAATACTTTTTATTCTGTGTCTGGCTTGCTTTGTTTCATGAAGTGGCTTTAGCCTTGTGTCTCCGTAACACTAAGTTCGAATGCCAGACATTGTTTTACACACACTGCATATGTTGACACATTCAAGTGATGAAAAGAATCCAGGAAGTCTGATGGATTCACGCTGATCTCATCTCCGTGCTGCTGCTTTAAAGAGTAAGATTTGAATGACCACCCTCCTGTGGGAGAAATAACGCATGCCCTGTTCATTTAACCCCCGTGTGTGTTTCTGTGTAATATATTTAGCACCTTCATGATGCCGAGAACAGCGGACACTGTGTTACTCTGTGCTCTTACTTAACATCTGTCTATAGCGTTTCTGGTAACATTTTATTTAGATTTGCCAGGTCGGGGAATTTACAGGATCCATTTCTTTCCTTTGTTTAATGTAAGTTTGAGGCACTCAGCTTGCTCCTGTAGTCTACATGTAGAATATAGAACTAAGAATAGAATTGACATGTCACAAGATGTGCAGATAATATTCCACTAGGTACACCCGAATGTGTCTGTTTATTCCACTAATGTCCGCTTCCCTTGGCACCACCGCGGCCTCTCTCCTGCCGTGTGTATCATGGCCCTTCCGTGCTAAGCTGATTAATATTTGATATAATAGTATCAGGATTTTAATTTTGTTCCTGCTCTTAGTAATGGGTTGAACACCACCTGGTCATATTATCTGCCCCTCATTAGTTCTAGCGGTATGCACTTCTCTTGCAGAGTGCCTTATGTTTTCCATGTCTTATAAAGTTAGGTTGTCATTTTATTTTTCATAAGACTTTAAATATCCTGCTATTTGCCTTATTTTGTTTTTATTAGCTTATGTTAATTATTACAAATTAATGAGCTTTCAGGACATTTCCATGTATGCGTACAATTATCATATCCACTGGCATAACTACTCTTTCTTATCTCCTCTGTTTTCTCCCTTCATGTACTTAATAGTCTGCTTGAGCCCCCAAGTAGCTGGGATTTCAGGCTTGTACAACTGGGCCCAGTTCACATAAAAGTATTTGGAAATCACTGTGATGCTGGTACTTTACACACTTAAAGGTTTCTTGTCATTTTGTGTTTCAAAACATTTTAAAAATAATTTAAACTAAGTACTTTAATATTGGAATGCTTGAAAAGGAACTAACAGTGTCTAAGATACTAAATCCCTGATAAAATAAAATGGCACTGTTAGTCACTGTGGAATTCCTGAAGTCATCCACGTGTTGGTTAGTAGAGAGGTGCCGAAGTCCCAGCGCTTTCCTGCTGGCTGTCTGACCCTGTAAGCGAGGCTTGTGGGAACAAGTTTCCTCACAGTTGATAGTTTTGCTTCTACCATAGTGGTTGGGATGTTCACGGTATGAGCATGTGTGTAACCCAGTGCAGCTGATAGGAAACCACACAGTGTGTCTGTTTTCGGAGTGTAAGTTACTTGGGTTTCCCTGTGTAATTTGATTTTATGTTTTTTGACAGGTGGCAATTTGTACCACACTGAGGTCTCACTCTTTGGAGAACCTACGGAGTTTGAATATTTGCGGAAAGTGCTGTTTGAGTATATGATGGGTCGTGAGACCAAGGTACAGATCTTGCCTGGTGACTTGGTGTGGGGCTCCTTGTAACACACACATTGATATCTGCACACCATTAGATCGTATGAGCAGACCGTGTTCACAGAAGTGAGCCAGCTGACAGCCTTGCTCAACTTATTAAATTCTAACCTTAAAAATGCTATTGGATGTTACTAAATACCACCTCAATGAAAATTTCCTAAACAAGAAGTTGTTTAAAAAGAGAAAAAGTGAAGTATGTGGCTTTGTGCGCATGTGTGTGTGACTTCAGATCTTAAAAGTAGAAGAAGCGTAGAAGGCTTTAGGAGCCTGTGGATAGCACTGTGTCTCATCATGTTATCACTGTGACAGTGGCTGCCCAGGAGCATACAGAGAGACCTGAGTCTGTTACAGTCATTTCTGCAGGTGTTTAGATTATTACACTGTATAAGTAGGAGTGGTTAGTCAATTTGTTTTCCAGAATGTAGCTCCTACATAAGGCCTTGATAAAGAGTCTTGCCTTATTTGTGTCTTCTATAATTCAGTTGTGTTTGTTGTTTATTTTAAACTTTAAGTTAGACATTTGGTAAATATATCTTGAATGGAATTGCATGTAGTTATGGAGTTTCATGAGATTTTTATCAATAAATCTTTGTTGTAACCAGTTTCTGTTTTGACACTTGTCGACTCTTGACGGGATTTATGTTGTCTGTGTAGTGACTAAGAGTGCGATGTAAGCTTTGTGTCCTTGGGAACAGTCAATATGTACTGTGGCTACGTGCTGGGTCAGAGAGATGCTAGGCCAGGTGAGACAGCGATTTGGAAAATGTTTAGAAAACCAAAAAGAGCCAGGGCAGATATGAACTTTAAGATAGTAATAACAGCTTCATAAGATGCAGAGAAGCACCAGGAGCCAGAGGTCATTTGATTTCTTAGATTCATAGAAATTATGTTTTACTTACATCATACAGGTTTAGGGAGTATTTTTTGTTCCTTGTTTTTGGTTTTGGAGTTTTGAGGCAAAGTCTTATTGTGTGGCGACCTTGGCCTCCCGCGGGATTTCAGTCACACACAGCACGTCTGGCTGCCACAGCCTTTCAGATAAACAGTATGTTAATGTAGCGTGATCTTGAGCATGGCTCACAGAGAGCCTGTACTAGTCCACAGTGGTCCAGCGTCTGTTTCCCTCCCTTGAGGACTTTCACTAGCTCTTCTCTTGTAAGGCAGAGCTGATGAACGACCGTCTCTTCCCACTGCGTTCTGACTCAGACTCAGGTAGTAGCCTGGATGTGCAGCCTGTGGGTGTTAGCACTTCGTGCTGTGCCTGTGCAGCAGGTAGAAGAAGCTGAGCCTTGAGTCTCCTCTCAGGACTCTAGTGTGGGGCAAGTGCTGTGGCTAACAGACTGTGGCCTTCCTGAGCCTGACATGCTGGCTGCCATCGCCTGTTGCTCCTAGGAAGTGTATGCATGTGAGATGTGCTTTCCAGCCCTGAGCCTCTGGGAGAGAGACACAGCCCAAGCCAGCGTCGCCTTGTCCTTTCTGAGCCTTCAGTTCACTTGAGGTCACTACTTGGAAGGCGGCTGAAAGTGCTGCTTCAGCAGTCTTGGAGGCATGGCTCTTCATCCACCTTTGTCTGCGTTTGTTGTCATTTTCTGGCTGGTGATAATGAACAGTCTATGACTCTTCCATCACAGTTTACATGTAAATGTTGAAACTGGTATTTATTCATGTATTCCTTCATTCGTCTATTTATTTTATTTTATTTTTGCAACAGGGTTTCTTTCTTTCTGTGTAGTGTTGGCTATCCTGGATTCACTTTTAGACCAAGCTAGCCTCAAACTCAGAGTTCCGCCTGCCTCTGCCTCCCCAGGTGTTGGAATTAAAACTTGAATTTAATCTACTGTTCATTTATTGGACTGTCATGGTAGATAGTGCTGTGGAAGCTGATACCATTCCTGACTCTAGTGCTTAGTTCTTAGTTAGCCACACTGTGGAGCAGAATGCCGTCTAAGGACTCAAGGTAGATCCAGCTCTAAACAAGGAGAGGATTCAGTTTTGATTGGGTGCTGAGCATTCATGCAGGATAGGCAGAGCTCAGCAGAAGGCCCAAGAGAATGGTGTGTGAGTTCTTTGAGCCCTGTCTGGCCAACTGAGCACTGTTTCTGTGGGTCCGAGTGTTCCCAGGTGGGACCAGTCTTGAAGGCTAGGTAATCTGAAATACTTTCAGAATTTTACCTCTATGCATCCCAGAGAAGGTAGCTCTGAAAATTTCCAACAAGAACAGAGCTGGTTTTAGACCCATCTTTTGCCAGTTTGCTTTGACAACGAGCTCACCGTGGAGAGCAGGTTATAGTTCAGAGTGGCGCAGCCTGGGAGCACGTGCTGATGTGCTGAGTGTCTGCATCAGGCGGTCTCCGTGTGCCGTCTTCCCTGCTTCCTGCACCTGTGCTGCCGCAGCGTTCCGACGAGGCAGGTGCGCAGACAGCACTGCATCCAGGACACACAGTCTTACAGTGTGGGGCCGCTTCAGCCCTGCTTTTTTCTTCATGGGCTTGGGTCCTACACTCTCTTGTTGATACTGAAATCCAGGCTGCCTTCCTTTTTGCTCTGTAAGCATCACTGAAGAGGCATTCCCTGAGGAAGCACTAGCTGAAGAGCCTGCTCACAAACCAGGTGGCTCATCTGAACCTCTCCTTCCTTCCCAGGGCCTGAGGATGTGGTGTGGAGAGTAATCAGTCCAGTATGTACAAGACCCTGGGCTTCTGGCTAGTGAAAACTTGTTGGCTGTCAGCTATGGATTATGGGTCGCTGATGAGCTTAGGGCTAGGTTTCCCACTTAGTGTTATCTAAGTATGAACAGAAACTAGTCACAGTTCATGGTTGTGTCTTTATAAATATGCTTGCACATTCACGTGTGTGGTTTCAGAATAAAGTGTACTACAGTAGCTTGTGTGATACTGAAATTAAATGTTCCATATAACTATGAGTCTTTAAATTTTAGATTTTTGATGCCCGGCGGGGGTGGGGCTGAGATCTTTATAAGTAGTACATAGGAAGTGTCCTCTGTGTTAACAGAAAGAAAATACTGAAATAGTGACTACGTATTTCTTTTTGCCAGTTCACATGCATATACATGATCTCTACTCAAGTATAGCACATGAGTTTGTGTTCTGTCTGCTTACTATTAAGTGAGATGTTGTCAATGCCTTTGGAATCCTGCAATGTGGTTCTTTGAAATGGCATTGTAGGTTTTTTTTTTTTTTGTTTGTTTTTGTTTTTGTTTTTTTAGATTTTTTTTTTTAGGCATTTTATATATATTTTTAAAACCATTAAATGACAAAGATGTCTGAAACTAAAGTCATTGTTTGTGACGTTTGCAGCTAAAAACAGTCTCAGTTGATCTGTTAAATTATTAGAATTATATACTGTGTTGCCCTGGCTTTCTACAGGTAACAGGAATTTTAAAATGTTAGTTTCTTTGCTTTTTGTTAATAATTAAATTTTTTTCTAGTGATATAAAGTTCTGCAATTTTGGTTTGATAATATTGTCCTGATTTTTTTCCTGCAACTCTCCCCAGAGCCCCACTGCTGCCACCATACACACAGGCCTACACACAGAGCACATGTAGCCATGCGCACTGGTCCCCTTTTCTGGGATGCTCTACGTGCACTGTAGGACGCCCCAGGAGAGTGTACCACCAGACCTGAGATGTAAGCACCGAGCTCGTTATCCTTCTTGTCTCATGAGTGACCTCTTCTTTCCTCTCTGTCTTCCTCACAACATCTCATCTTGACACACAATAGGGAGTTTCAGCCTTTGAGGAGAATTTTCCAGGAGCTTATGGGTGCCAGTCTGACTTACGGTATATTTATTCTGATCCGCACAGTTTATGATCTTGTTTTGCAAACCTCCATGTGTAATGTTTTGATTCATCATGTGTTCTACCAAACAAAACATTTGTCTTTCTTTACTATGTAATTTCTATTAGGCCAATGTGCTGCATGTCTTGAAACCTAACTACTCAGCATGTTCATGTCCATGCAGTGGCCCATGGTTATGAGATATATGATGTGATTCAGTTAGAGCCAAACCCGGGGCCTTCTAACCCCTGTTATTTAGAGCATATGTTTTGGCAATCACTGTAAGTTACTGCAAATATAAAGCTTTTTCAGATGAAATCATAATGAAGTTTCGTCTTAATAAGACAAAAAAAAAAAAATCAGGAGCTAGATCTTTATACAGCTTCATGCTGTTGGAAATGCATCAAACACAGACCTTGTAAGGACCCTCTTAAATTGAAACTCTAGTGCTGGCTGTTGCTTCCTTGACTGACACCTTCACATCATACTTCTTTGTTCGTGGCTTCCATTGAGAGCACTAAAGACCCCTCCAGCCGAACATGTCTAATGGTGTGAGTCTTCGCTGCCTTGTGGTCTGCTCATCATCTCTTTCCTGTTGCTCCTAGACCATGGCGAAAGTGATAACCACTGTCCTGAAATTCCCTGATGATCAGGCCCAAAAAATTTTGGAAAGAGAAGATGCTCGGCTGATGGTAAGTTGTAGAAGCAAGCTCTAGAAAGTCAGCTTTCTTAAGTTAATACTCTGCCTCACACAGGGCCTTTCTCTGTGCTTCTAAAAGAAATTGAAGTTTTTCGGTGTCTCACACTACAGCTTAGAAGGCGAGTGGGCGTTAAAGTTTAATGTAGGGCGGATTTGATGGGGCCTCTTGAGGGAGAGAGCGGTCTTTCTGAGCAGTGAGCATGGTTGTTGCCACATGTGTGATGTGGGGCTCCAGAGCTTGAGCCTCCGATGGGAGGACAGAGAAGACAGCTGTTCTGTCGCTTCACAGAGAGCACTTTCTAAACAGCTTGGTATTCCCTCTTATGTTGTGAAGTATTTTCTTTTGCATTGATTCTCAAGAATTTAATCATTTGGGGGGCCCAATAAGGTGACTTAACAGATAAAGGCAGATACTGAGCAATACCAAAAACAAAAGCAAAACTCTTTAAGAAAGACCAAAAAATATTTAAGCATATCTGAAGGAAAATCACTGGAAAACATTAGATCCTTTATCCTTGAATAAGCAGCATTCATTCTAGGAAGAGATAAAGGGAGTACTGGTTTTTAATTTAATCCTCCTTTGGCCATGAGGCTGACCTGCCCAGACTTGAAACAAAGTCTCATGTGTCCTGATCCTTTGCTTGCTAAATAAATTTAGTCTGCAGCTATTTATTCCTGTAGTTGTTAATAGAGAATTTAGGAAATTTGAAGCTATGAAGGACATGGAATCTTCACTTTTAGGGCTAAGTGGTAACTTCCATTTAATCATATGTGAATGAAAGATAGGCCTGTAAATCATTCAAATGATAAAAGTAGATTTATAGGAAATATAAAGGAATTTATGGGCACGAAATAGGAGAAATGTCCATTGAAAATTAGTCAAATTGATTGACCTTCTTTTTGTCAGTCTAAAGAGATTCTTGGTATTTGTAGAGTAACTTAAGATCATTTCCTGTATCTTTAAGAGAATTTCATTAATAAGGCCTATTGTAATTGGCTGAAATTGGAATCGAGATTGCTTCGTTATAGAGAGGCCTTCTTAAGTTTCCCTGAAAGCATAATTCTCATTCAAGTGCTACAGACCCTAAAGACATAAGTCCACATGTCTGTTCCCCTAGAGACGGCCCTGCCCCTGTCTTTCCTTCTCTTGGTCTGGGAGCCTTTGCTTTCTTCCTCACTCACTCGCCCGCTGTGCTCGGCTTTCACACTCATCCTCCATGTTGTCTGCTTGTTGCTTCGCTTTGTGGTGCTGGAGACTCAAACCTAGGGCCTCATGCGTGCTGGAGCCCTGCTCCTGAGCTGCATCTTCAGCTTTGTTTAGTGTTCTGCATTGGTTGTTGGCCTAGATCATTCTGGTATTGTTGGTCTCATGCATTTCCATCTCGGTAGAATTTTTTAAATCTCTCTGAAGTTAATAAATCATCAGGATTTTATAGCATTTTAGGTAGAGAAATCTTCCATTCCACCATGAGGTTTATTGGTCCCTGGCACATAATGAGATGCATGCCAGGTGGATTTGGAAAACAAATGCAAATACGAATGACACATAATGAAAGATGATGCATGTGGAAGTGTGATTGGGAGCGTGGTTCTGATTGACATTGTCAGAGTCAGACACTATCAGATCACTTTTTAAAGTGCTGCAAACAATTGAGAAAAATTAATTATACTATTTGCCCTCTGTCAAAGTCATCCCTGTTAAGAGTGTGGCGCCTGGGAACATGCCTGTAATCTGGTTGAAGCGGAAGAATCTCAAATTCAAGGCTGTGTGGGCTACAAAGTGGGAGATTCTCTCAAGATAAGACATTGACGAGTTCCACTGGGTTTCGCTGTGTTCAATTCTCTAGGTGGTTTTTCATCCTTAAAAGCATAGACACAGAATGTCCACATGCCAGTATCTCACGTGCTTCCTTAGATTTAATACTGAGCTAACCATGTTGTGTGCATTGAAAAACATTTTTCTAGTCTGTGTTTTAATCTTGCTACTTTTTACTAACTTTGTTTCATATATAGACTCCAGAGGCTTGTCACACCATCCAAAAGTAGCCTGAGCTTTGGTAAACAGCTGTTTATCATACTGCTGTTGTCATACTGCCCTTTCAAAGCAAGCCATGAGGCTAGTTACTGATGGTGGGTGATGGACACCTGAAATTAGGGCATGGGGTTATTTAGGAAGTTCGCTACAGTAAAACGAATTGAGGTTAAGTTCCTTTACATTGAAATTGCAACGTGGAACATCATTCCTGTGACTACCTTTGACATTCCGTTGAGTTATAAGAGAATTCTTCAGTGATACAGTTGATACTTTTTAGGAATGAGAATTCAATATACAGGTATACTGTGTTTCAAGTTCATCAACTTCCAAAAATTCTTGGGTGTAAACTGAAATTATGTAAATCAAATTTTAATGTATACGGTAATGGAATTATGACAGAAATCACTTCATATTATACTCCCTCTAATTTACTTGGCAGTTAAATGCCCCCTAGCATGAAGTACATCTTTCAGCATTTAAACTTTTAAATGAAAATTGAAAGTAAAAATTTAGGATGAGGAAGTAGTTCATATTTTTTATGCTTTGCCTAATGACCCTAAATTTGAGAAGAACTTGAGTACTCTGTAATTCTATCCACTTTGTATATACACTGTAACCTCTACACTGTTTGTCTGGAAACTAACCCATTAAGCTTTCCCTCTTGGCTTTGTAGTTCACTTCAGCTCGCAGCGGCATCTTCTGATACGGTCAGTCTGTGCTTAGTGAGCGTGTGGTGAGTGAGAGTCCTCGTATACTGCATGCCATTAACCATTGTGCTGGGATTATTTTATCCTTTTTAATGGACATGATTATGACATCGGGTTACGTAATTGCTTTCTTTTGATTCTGTTAAATAGACGGATATATAGACTTAACAGCCTTTGAAATTACTGCAGATTATGAGAGAGAAATTAAAGATAACTTCTGGAGGGGAATGAGGAAATACAGTGGTGGGCTGTGTTTCAAGTGAAGAGAGATGTAGTTCACATATCCAGGACCTCAATTACTGCAGAGCCTGATTAGAGTGCTAGTTTGAAGGAAAAGAAAGAAAGAAAGAAAACTAATAAAGTTGATTAAAAATAAACACAGTTTTAATTGCATCGTAGGATCACACAGCTCAGTGCAAGATAGCACATGTGTTCTGTAGGTGTTCCTCGGCAGCCTAGTTCAATTGGACCTGGCTGTTTCTGATGGACGTTTTGTGACAGTGAAATGTAATTATGGAGAATGTTTCCCAGTTGACTGGTCCTCGACATTAAAGGATTTTCAGCCTCAGACAGTATTCATGTCATTAGCTTGATTGGACATTGCCTTAAATGTTTATGGTACACACGTACCTCAAAGTTGGCTGTAAATTTCACAAGTCACAAACAAGTCGAATCACAATGACTAACATCAAGTAGAACATCTGGTTGTACTTGATAATGATGGTATATTTCAGCTTGAACACATGGAGCAAGTATGTAAGGGCTGAGATGCATCTTTTTAAGAAACTTTTAAAAAATGTTTATTTTAAAAAGATTTCTTTATTATTTTATGTGTCTGTGTTTGTCCACGTCTATGTGCACCATAGAGGCCAGAAGGGGGCATCAGATCCCCTGGAATTAGAGTTACAGGTGGTTGTGAGCTGCCATGTGGGTGCTGGGACCTGAACTCAGGTCTCTGTTAGCAGTGCTCGTCAGCAGCACACCGTCTTTGCAGCACTCTGTTTTTGTTTTCTGTTTGTTTTTGAGACAGAGTTTCTGTGTGTAGCCTCGGCTGTCCTGGACTCACTTTGCAGACCAGGCTGGCCCGGAACACAGAGATCCGCCTGCCTCTGCCTCCCTGAGTGCTGGGATCACAGGTGTGCGCCACTGCTCCGGACAGCGCTGTTTTTTAAGATTTTTTTTTAAACTGTCTGCGTTGATTCTCCTTTTGATTTTTGTATTTTATCATTTAATTTGCTTGCATGGTTATTTAGAGCTGTCCCATTCCTGTCTTCGTTATGGTGGCTTGCAGTGTAGAGCATGGTTTTATTAAGCTTATTGCTTTAATAAGCTTATGAGACCTGAATAGCAGTAAGACCTGTACCTGCCCATCAAGCCGCGTCAGTACTGTACCCTGCTGAGACCATGCTGCAGAGGGCTGCTCTCCTTTACACTGGGGATTTGTATCTCAGCGATTCTGTTGACTGACTGCTCATCCATTCAACTTCTGGTGTGAAACATTTCAGACCTAAGCTTTGCAAAAATAATTGAGTGAATGCCCATCACTTTCCAGTTTTTAACATTGTGTAAAATTTTCTCCCTGTTCTCATTCTTGGTCTCTCTCCATGTGTTTTCCCATTTTGTAAAGTTTAGCATTTTCTCTCTGTTTGGCAGTTACATCATGCTTATAAACACTTGACAGTGCAGACATAAGTGAGTAGATGTGTCGTAAGGGGTTGCCCTACACAGAATATTTATCACACACAATAAACTAATAGTCAGTAATACTCAATATTATCTGATATTTTACATAATGTTCAATTTTTCAGTTTTTGAATGGATATTTCATGAATACTTAAGATCCCAGGCTCCACAAGAACATACATTATATAAGCAGTCATGTGTCCTAAGGTCTCTTTTAAATTAGAGTTCTTGGTCTTCTTGCTTTCATAACAATGATATTGTGCCACTCTGGTGAATTGATTTTTGTTTCTTAGATGTGGTCAAGCTGAGGTTTCAAAATAATAATTGAAAAGGAAACCTTACCTGAGGTTTTCCACCTATTCTTTAGGTTCTTAGGGCCAGCATGATTGTTGAGCTAGCTTTGTAAATAAGTACTCAGAATATTGAATATGAGTGGACAGTTTGTCTCTGTTACTTAACCTTACTTGGGAGTTTACTTCTAACATCTGAAGCCCTGTGCTCAAATCTGAGTACTAGCATTTAGCATTTTAATATAGGAAACTCTTAGGAGTCCGAGTTTGTGTCTCATAGCATTTTTTAAGTTTTAATGAACTTTCGGTGAGGCTTTGCCTCTTACAGCACAATACATTTGTCACTCTGCCATGCATGTCATGCCTTGAAGGATATAGGAAATCCACATACTGGGGACGGGGGCCCTCCTCCTTCCCTGCCTGAAGAGCTGTGTCTCTGCGGAAGGCTCCACACAGCACAGGCCTCAGGGCTCAACAGCACTGGCTTCACGGAGGCCCAGCTCAAAATCCACACCTAAATAAAGTTTTCTGGGGTTGCTACAAATTGGTTTAATTTATTCTAGCAGTAGTTTCTGTTCGATTCCAATAGAAATCAGCATTTGAAATGTTTTAACCTTTTTACTGTCATCCCTAGAGTATTAATTTATTTTACCTTGGGGGTGGGGGAAGAAATGTCACAAAAAGTTGGCTATAAAAGCTTCTTTGTTTGTTTTTCTTATTTCATGCTAATTTCTTTCTTTCTTTTTTTTTTTTTTTCAGTCATGGCTCCGAACTTCATCTTGAAGACATGGAGAGAATGAGGCGGGCAGCTGCTGCTTGGCAAACTGTCCATGTTTGCTGCTTTTGGAGAAAGGCGCTGTCCTTGCAGGCCATTTGCGTGGCCTGAGACAGATCTTATCCTGGCCCACAGTTGCATTGCTTTTGAAGCAGATGTTCTTGGTGGAAAATGATGATAGTTTTGTTTTTTTTTTTTTTTTTTTTTTTCATTCTTCGGTTTTTTTTTTTTTTTCTTGGGAAGTTTTATGTGGTTTAAAGGCTGTTCTGACTGGTCTGGCTTGGCCTGGTCACTCAGTGTCCCTTTCTTCTGTTCTTTTTCCTCTTTTTAAAGAACTGTCTGTCTTCCTTATTTATTTTAGGGTGATTTCTTTTTCTTCTTAAAGACTTGTGCAATACATTTTGAGGTGAAACTTAGTGGATTTTTTCTGATAAATTAGAGAATTTAATTGATTATTTCACAGATTGATTTTTTTTGAATATTTGCTAAAGCCTAATTCTTTAAGCTATGATAAGTCCCAAGTGGCAGCACCTCATGTTTACCTAGCTTTTGTACTTATATTATTTTTCAAAGGAAAAATACTACTGTAAATTGTAAATAGTCAGTACATAATCCTATTGTATGCAGATCTGTGACTGTTGGCTGTGTCATCTCAGAGGATCAGATACATAAAGTTTATTTCCTATATAATATTTTTTGTTGTGCTTCTTCTTATGTTGAAATCACTTCAAGATGGTTAAGCATCCACATTTTAGTTCAAGTGGGGTGAATGTAGTGAGGGGCTGTCAGGAAAGCGAAATGCTGAACACTAAGAAAGATTTTGTATATGGATGTTCAAAATTAATACGAGCAAGTGAGAAGGATATGGAGGCTTCCCTCAGTGTGTTATAGGAGAGCTTCTGCTTTGTGTGGGGGATGTCACTGATCGCTTCCTCCTTGTTTTTTTGTTTGTTTGTTTGTTTGTTTGAGACAGGGTTTCTCAGTGTAGCCTTGGCTGTCCTGGACTCACTTTATAGACCAGGCTGGCCACAAACTCAGAGATCCGCCTGCCTCTGCCTCCCAGAGTGCTGAGATCAAAGGCGTACACCACCACACTCGGCTCTCACTGATTCTTCTTAAGTTTAATGAGAGAGAAGTTTGTGGACAGGAAGGTATGAGAACTGCTCAGAAGGGCCCACACGCTTCATGTTCTGGGAACAGGGGGCTTGGACTCTTAGGGATCTAAGAGACCCTCTGCCCGAGACTTAGCTCCAGTCATCAGCCAGCCTGCTGGCTTTGCTGGGGGATCTTGCACTGTTGTGAAGAATACAAGCTCTGTGGAGAAAAAAGGGGCCATCCACACCCTACAACCAACTTGCTCATTATTCTTTAGAGAGGAGACAGCCCCCCCCCCCCCACACACACACACGTGACTTATTTAAATTGCCAAAACTATGTCCCACTGAGGATTTCAGGCAGTAACTGACTCCTTACCTTTTATGTCTCCTCCGTGCATCCACACAGCTTCTTGTAAGTTTTCCTTAACTCCTTCATGCAGATACCCAAGTGTAAAGGAGCAGGCGTCAGTTGTGAGCATATTTGGTCCTAGAGGCTGTGTTTTGCAACCTTGTAATTCTGTTGCTGTAGTCAAAAGCAGCTGTAGATAATTCTTAAATGAGTGAACATCATGTGTTCCCATAAAATTTTTTGTTTGTTTTTTTGTGGGTTTTTTTTTTTTTTTTTTTTTTTTTTTTTGGTCTTTTTAGTTTTTTTGAGGCATGGTTTCTCAGTGCTCTGCTGTCCTGGAACTCATGCTATAGACCAGGCTGCTCTTGAACTCACAGAGATCCACCTGCTTCTGCCCCCCAAGTGCTGGGACTAAAAGTATGTGCCAAAACACTCTGCCAAAACCTTATTAAATATTTAACATTCATATATGCGCATAAATGTGTTTGGATGCTATGCACCTCCCCGTTCTCTCCCAACTTCATGTGCTCTCTCTTTTTAAAATTATTAAATGTAGTACCCACCGAATTAATTTAGTGCTGCCTGCATGCACATAAATGTGGGATCATCTTCTGGAGCATGGGTAGTCGCTCAGGATCCACACCCTGAAGAAAACTGACTCCCTTCCCCCTTAGCCACCAACGGCCAGTAGCTCCTCAGAAATGGAACTTTAGGAGCCCCTCCTGTCCATGCTGGGATCTTGGCTGGCTTGGTCTCGTGCAAGGCCTGTGCTTGCAGCCCAGATTTTGTGAGTTCATGTGTGCAACTGTGCTGTCATGCCCTGCAAGTACTGATCAAAATGTTATTTTCAAGGGGTCGGGAGGTGTATAGTATGGTGCCTCATAGTAGCATCTTCCTAATGTATGAATAGACAGAAGAAAGAATAGGCTGTGTGTGCTTGTGTGTGTGTGAGAGAGAGAGAGAGAGAGGAGAGAGCATGCATACATTCGTAAGTCTGTGCTGAAAGTCATTAAAACTTATTTAAAGCTGTCTTTAATTGTGTGGCATTGTATTCAAAGCTATGTCGTTGTATGGTTGTTTCTTGGCTGTTGAATGGGTTACACTTAGTATTTGCACTCAGTATTTGGCTGTTGAATGGGTTACACTTAGTATTTGTACTCAGTACACCACACTGAACTCACTGTCCGTAGCATGAAGACACTTGAAAAGACAATCCGAGTCATTCTGCCCCAGCAGCCTTTGCTGTAACAAGTGGGTACACTTCCAGGCGCTTTGTGCCATGTTTGTTTGGCACCGTGGCCCTGGTGTTCTAAGACTGATGCCTGAATGAACATTCACAGTCCATTCCCTCTTAGACCATTACTATCCAGTGTCTTCACCAAAATTTGAAGGGCTGAGAGCGACTTAACACTAAAGCACACACTGTGGCAGTGACAAGGAAGGGCTGAGGCTGACTTAACACCAAAGCATATGCCATGGCGGTGACAAGGACAGCCGAATGAGGAGTAGCGCACCTTCTAGCCTGCGCCACGGGCTTCTGTGCCAGCTGTCCCCACCTTAACTTAGAACATCTTTAGCTGGGTTTTATTCTTTAGAAGTGTGCAGACTCAAGCACTTAGTGATGATATTTAATGAACTATAGGCATTTAAATTTTTAAAATTAATTTTTAGGTCAGCATGCAGAGTAATGGGTTTCATTGTGTGTGGGTGTTTTCAAAGATTAATGGGATAAGCAGCCTGAAGGCAGAATAGAGTCTCATCATTTTCCAGTTGATAGGGCTGGAGAGATGGCTCAGTGGATAAGAGCACAAGCTACTTTTCCAGAGGATTGGTGTTTGGTTCCTAGCACCCACATGACTCTTCTTACAGTTGCCTGTGGCTCTAGCTCTGGGGGAGCCGGTGCCCCCTTCTGGCGTCTGTTGGTACTGCACACCAAGTGTATATGTGCACACACTGATCCGTAAATAAAAATTGTCTTTAAAAGGTTTTTCAGTTTTTCACCTTGCTACAGAGGAACACTAGATGGAGCAGCTTCTGCCATTAAACAAGTAATGTTTAATGAGTTCCTTCTCTGTCCCCATTCTTCCACATCTGTATGTTAGGAGTGGACAAGACACATCGTTTTTCCTCTTAAATTTGCCTGATGTAGATGATGAGACCTTATATAACATCTGATGAAGTCATGACATAATGCTTTCAGGTTCTCTGTTGTGCAGGTAGGTGGCCTTAACTGTGGGATTGACCAAAAAGGAAATGTATCTTTGGCTGCCATCACACAGTCTGTACTACATTGATACACTGTTTCCAGTCCTTCTCTCTGCTGTGTTGCATTTTGCCACCATGTACTTTGCCGTTGTCAACTGAACTATGGAGAATGACCTAAAGGGAGGGTGGGTGTTATTTTTACCCTTCGTGAGCCTATCAGCTCCATTTTCTCCCTCTGTCCAGCTTTTGTTTGCGGAATGATTTGTCAAAGCCAGCCTCACTGGTAACTTTCCCAGCATCCATCTGGGCCTCTGGTATAGATCTACGAAAGACAGGCTATAGGGAAGCGGATCTTGGGCAACTCTGTTGAGGTGGAGACTTTGCATGTGCTGCACTCTTGGAATGTCAGGGATGAGGGGGTGTAGAGAATGGTTTGGAGCATTCCATCAGCTCTCCCACAATGCCTTTCAGGAATGCGGCTGACCCTTGATGGGTCCCGTGACAGACACAGCTATCCAAGTTATCTATTGTCATGACTCAGTTCAGTAGCTCAGGAAATAAATACCCAGCTCCAGGTGGGTGGCTGTGGCTGGGTGGTTCTGCTCTGAGCAAGGTTGATCACCCTCATGCGATTTGGGTGGTGGCCTTGGACTTGGGCTCACCCTGGACCCTGGAGATCAGCTGATTTCGGACAGTCTGCCAGAGAAGCTCTGCAGGGACAAGTCTCAGGACAGGTTTACTCTCTCCCAGACAACCAGGTTCTCATGGTCAAGGCCAAGATGCAATTGCAAAGTGGTGACCCACAAGCCCTCATGATGCATCTACTGCATCTCAACCTTGGCCCGACTTAGCTGAGCAAATGCCATCTGGTGGGAAGAGCCCCCAGGTCACAGAGTATGGGATTTCTCGGGTACAGTAGCCAATTAGGAGCTGCCTCCTCTGGCTCTGACTGGGAAGAGTCAGGATGGCCAAAGGAAGACTATATGAAAAAGGTAACAGGACATCTGAAAAACAGGAGAAACTGAAAGCCTACCCAAGAGAAAAGAGGAAATGGTCCCCAGGCCTGGCCATCACTGCGATTCAGACTCCTATTGGGGAGAGGAAGCCCAAACCACAACCAGAGGATGTACAAAGTTCAACCTGAACTTTGGAGCAAAAGACTTAACTTCCCAATAACTAAACCAGAGATACTAAATGGCTAACATGCTGAGAAAAAAAAAAAAATAGAAGTAGGGGCTGGAGAGCAGGCTCAGAGGTTAGGAGCACTGGTTGCTCTTCCAGGGTTCAATTCCCAGCAACCACATGGTGGCTTATACTGCAGCTCCAGTTCCAGGGGATCTGACATCCTCACACAGACATGCAGGCAAGACACCAATGTACATAAAACTGAGTAAATAATGTTCCATGTTTCTCTTTTTTGTTTGTTTCTTTGTTTTTTGAGATAGGGTTTCTCGGTGTAGTCTTGGCTGTCCTAGACTTGCCTTGTAGACCAGCCTGGCCTCTAACTCAAAGCTGTCCGCCTGCCTCTGACTCAGTGCTGGGATTAAAGGTGTGTACTACCACACCCTGCTTCCTGTTCCTTTTTTTTTTTTTTAATTGAGAAGTCAAAATACCGATGCCCTAAAAGAAAATTGGAGCAGGTTGATAAAGCAAAGAAGTTAATTCGCTTAGGATCTGGACTATAAATTTGACAGCATAGATGAGAAATGCAGCAAAGAACCTGAGCAAGGAAAGCTATAGAAACATGGAGTTCATGGCAAAGCACTCTTGAAAATTCAGTGGTTCATTGAAGAAATTACATGATACGAAGACAGACATCATGGGAGCCTTTTCGATACAACAAAGGTAGCCATAAGGTGGCAGAGCGTAGGTGTACACACTAGAAACAGAATCGGGTGTACTGTCACGTGTCTAAAATCCCAAGAAGTAGAAGCAGAAGAATCACTGAGTTCAAGACCAGGCTGGGATACATAGTTCCAGGCCATCCAGGGCTACACAGCAAGACCAGGTCTCAAAACAGAAAAGAATTCAGAGAGTGC